GGCACATTAGGTGATCCCAGGCTGTCGGCCCAGCTAATTGCCGCTCAACCTTCGCCTCATCACCAGGGGGGCCCCCCACGAACTCCATTAGCCCCCCCATAGCCCCTAAATCAGCCCCAATTATTCACAGGAGGGGGGGCTTGCCTGGGCTGAGAGCTGTGATTGCAGCTAAAGTGGAGGAGAGGAGGGCGGGAGTCAGAGCACCAAGTAGGCTGGCAAGCAGGCAGGGTAAGTGAGGGGCTGGAGGTGGATTCACACCAGATTCCACACAGGAGCAAAGGCTGGGGCTTGAAATAGAAATGGGGAAGCCAGGCTGGCAGGTGAGCAGCTGGGATCCTGGTTCGTGTATCTGGGGCTCAGGAGGGTGAGGGAGGCGGTGTAACAGGCATGCCTCGGTGAGGATATCATTCTTGTCACTAGCATGGGCACCACTGCCCAGCATTTATGATGAGCTGGCTGCAGTGGGGGAGGGCATGGAGCAGGCTGTGTCCCTACAGGGCTCTGCTGGCAGGACCACCCCACTGCTCGCAGCCCCCTGTGCAATGTGTGGAGGTAGAGGTCACTCTTCCCCATCGGCGCAGTGGCTGGCACATCTCTGTGGGCTGTAGGGGAGACAGAGTGGCATGCTGGGTGTGCGCTGACTCCCAAGCTGAGTTGTGTGTGCAGGAGTCAGTGAGATCAGCCCATGCTCAACTCAGACGCCCTCTCCAAGTGTGATCTGTTGGGAGCCCTCTCCTAGGAACCCTTGTGCTCTGCACAAATGCCTTTAAGTAACAGGACTGAACCCAAGGCCTTTGCATTGAGCTACATTCCTAGCTCTTTTATTTTGAAACAAGGTCTCACTAAATTGCCCAGACCTGGCTTGAGCTTGTGATCTTTCTGCCTTGGTCTCCTAAATGCTAAGATTGCAGGCACACACCCACACATGGTTCACAGCCATTCTTTAAAACTTGAGTTGGGTAATGTCTGTCTTCTAGTCAAACTCTTCCAATGGCTCTCATCTCATACAGAGCAAAACCCAAGAGCCCTACTGTGCCCTAGGAGGTCCTGTAGGGCTTCACACCCATTACATCTTTGTCTTTAATATCTGCCACTCCATTCTTGGTTACACCCGCATCCACTCTGCCAACAGTAAGTATCACTATTTTCTGAACCCAGCACATGCTCTGGCCTCAGGGCCTTGTGCTTGCTGTTCTGTTTGTCTGCAGAGCTCCATGGTTCTCTCCTTTAGCTCCTTAGGGCTCCATCTGGTTGTTATTTTTAGTGAGAACTTCTATGACTCCTTTTCCAGTTCATGCTGGCCTTGAGTTCACTCCTTAGCCCAGGCTGGTCTCAAACTGATGGCAATCCTCCTGTGTCAGCCTCTCAGTGCTGGGATTACAGGCATGAGCCACCACACTTGGTTTCAATGATTCTATCGATGGAGTTTTATTAACCATTCTTCACCACCTTGCTAGAATGTAAGCTTTGTACATGTGTGTGTGCATGTACGTTGGTGGTGGGATCAAACCAGAGCTTTGTGCATGCTTGTGTGCTATATCCTCAGCCCAAGGCAGAGATTTTGTTTCCTTCATAGCTGTAGCCCCAAAGCCTACACATAGTAGGTGCTCAACAAATCTTTATTCACTGGATAACTGAATAATTGCCTCTTTCCCCAACTAGCATGTAGGTTCTTTTAGGGCAGAGAAATCATCACCTAAATAGTGAATTATAAAGTTCTTAGAATAGTGCCTAGTAATCAGCACATGCTTGCCCAATAAAAGGACATCACATCTTCATCACCGCCATCACCACCACCCACCACCATCACCTGTGTCCTGGGCACTAAACACAAAACAGAGTTTATTGAGCAAAAGGATGAGCAAGGACCTTGGGTTCCTTTTCTTCTGGTGGCTGCTGGAGGAGAGATGGGTGTATTTTAGCTATAAGGCTGGGCCCAGGAGAAGCTGAAGTCCAGGAGTTGGAAGAGCATGGTGTTGAGTGGCCCTGGGTCTCCTTATATATTTCTTCAACACGAAGATTTCTTTCCAGGCTTCAGTCCTTTAAGAACTCTAGAAAATACCAAAACTAAAAAAACCAAAACAAAAACACTAAGAATTTGGGGGAGTCAGGGAGAAGCCAATGGAAAACTTCTGTAAGCCGGGGTGCAGTGTAGGGGCCTGAGAAGGCTCCTAAAGAAAGGGGAGCTGGGCTGGAGGTGAAAGATGGGAACCTACAGCCAGGTGATGGAAAGGAGAGTGCACCGGACTCTTCACCACGCCTCAGTCTCTCCAGCTGCCTCTTCCTGGTGCTGGGTCAGATGACTTTCAAGGCTGTATGGGTGCATGTGCCCCCAGTACATGGAGGGCTGAGATGGGAATACCTTATCTCAGTGGGTTTGAGGCCAGCCTGGGCTACATTGTGAGTTCAGGGCAAATGTAAACTACACAGTGAGACCTTGTCTTAAAAAGAGAAAGAAAGAAGGGGCTGGAGGGTTAGCTCAGTGGGGTAACTGTCTTCCTGGCAAGTGCTAGGTCGTGAGTTTGATCCCCAGTATAGAAAGAAGGCATTCCTGGTGATGGACAGAAAAGTTCTAGGGTTTTTTGCCGCTGGTCCTGGGGCTGAGAGCTTGTTCCTGCTGCCCCCTGCTGGAGTCTCTTGGTAGCGTCAAAGTACCGAAAAGTCGAGAACTAGCTCTCTTCCCTTTCTTATCCAAACCATCAACACTGCACAGTCCGCCTGCTCCCGCACCTTCCACCCCTCAGAAGCAATAACTAACAAATATGCTCCTCTTTCACGTGGGAAGTACCCAGACAAAACTATTTTCCAGACATGGCGTAGACAAAGGACTTGAAATTACCTCAAATTGTACATTCAAACTGTATACAGACATGCTTAGCACCTAGCAGCCCCACAAGACAGAAAACACATTGTACCAGATGCATGCGTGGGTGTTCACAGCAGCCTGATTCAGGGTAGCCCCATGTTGGAGACCACGGAATGCCATGACAAGGGTAGAGATGATATGTATCTGAACACTGGGACACTCCTTATGATAAAGAGCAAAGAGCTACTGAATGTTTCATGTAGGTGAAAGGCAGACATAATCAAGCAGAGTATGCGATTCTGTTTATATGGAACAAACCAATGTGCAGTGGGTCAGAAATGTCACAGGGCTTAGGTTGAGAATGGAGTTTAAGGTCATGATCTACAAAGGGATGGAAAGTTTTAAATGTTTTTATTGGAATGGGCTTACAAAGATGAACACATTTGTCAAAGCTTATTTATTGTACATCATGCTAAGGGAAATGACCAGACAGAAGGGCACACACCATCCACTCCACTTATCTGTGGTACCTATAGCATCAGATTCACAGGGACAGAAAGAACAGTGGTTGCCAGGTATAGAGAAGAGGGACTTAGCAGTTATTTTCTAATGGGCACAGAGTTTCAATTTGATATTATTAAAAAGTTCTGGAATTGGAGACTGCTGATGGCTCAACTGGATTTGAATTTGCCATCTTCCTATCTCAGCCTGCCCAAGTGCTGGGATTATAGATGTGTGCCATCATGCCTCACTGGAAGTGTACACTTTTTTTTGGAGGGAGGGGGGGACAGGGTCTCTATGCAGTTTGGGCAGGCTTTGAGCTCACTTTGTAGCCCAGGCTGGTCTTGAACTCGCAACGATCGTCCTGCCTCAGCCTCCTGGGTGCTGGGATTACAGGCGTGAGCCACCACACCTGGCTATGGAAGTGTACACTTTAAAGTGGTTAAAATGATAAAGTCTATGATATGTATATTTTACCACAATCAATGAAGAATTTAGTGCTGAGCTGTGGCATACATGTCCCTCTCATCTCAACATGCAGGGAGGCTATCACCAAGTACCAATTGAGGCTAGGCAGTTAGCAAGTTAGAGACCCTGTCTTGGAATAAAAAATAAAAAAGGACTGGGGATGCAGCTCAATGCAAAGCCCCCAGGTTCAATCCCAAGTCACATAGAGATATGCACCAAACAAACATCCCCCCTGCACACTTTAAGTGGTACATTTTTATTGCATGTGAATTATACTTTAATAAAGTTGCATTTTTCCGTTTTTTTCTGCACTAGGTATGAAATCTAGACACTCATGCATGTTAGGCCTATGCTCTGTCACTTAGCCTCAGCACCAGTGCCCAAGTTGATTAGTTTGTTTTTGTTTCGAGATAGGGTCTGGCTATGTATTTTATGCTGATCTTAAACTTTCCATCCTACCTCAGCCTTCTGAGTGCTGGGGATTACAAGCATATGCAGCACAACTAGCTCCAACTTGATTTTCAGGTCTTTAGAGGGGTGTTCCTGCTTTGTAGGGGTCAAGGCACAGGCTGCGTGTTGCAGTGATTTGCAGCCTAAGCCCTGGAGTCAGCAGACCAGGAGGCCTTTGTTCAGAGGCTGCTTTTGTTGCTCACTGCGTCCTCACGGCACAGGCGCCTGCTTTTCGAATGTGAACGGGCACAAGGACGGATCACACTCGAGGCAGGGTGTGGGGAACCCCAAGGTCTAACGAGAACAGAGCCAGTCTTCGCTGCTATCAGACCAAGCAGAAGCGGAGCGCTGGTTCCGTCTACGCAGAGGACGATGCGCACTGCAGCCGGCCACCAGGGGGCGGCTGTGGCGTCGGGTAGCGAAAGCAGGATCGCTTCGCGACTGAGACGCTAGGCTGGGTCTCTACTAAGATCACGGTGGTCGGGCTGCACTGGGAGGTGCCCAGCGTGAACGACCTCCTCTGGGCTGTGCACAGCCTTGTTGTACATCTAGGAAGCCGAGGCTGGAGTGTCAAGTCCCCCTTTGTAGTCAGGAAGCCGAGGCAGGAGGGTCAGGTCCTCCGAGTCGCACCGCTGGTTGACAGAGAGGAGGCAGCGGCGGTGACCCCTGTACTCGTCCCTACGGTCCGTCCCCTCGATCTAGCCCCTCCCTGCTCCCCGGCTTCCTGGTCAAAACTTCCAACCCCGCGCAGGCCCGCGCCCCGCCCCCTTCCTGCCCCCCGCCCGCCCTGCGCCCCTCCCCTCCTGCCTTCCTAGAGGTCCGCAGCTTCCATAAGGGCTTGTCTCGGATCTTCCTCCGCGCTCCGCCGCCAGCCGGACGACCTGCGTGGGCCAGAGCAGGTGAGTGGGGAGGCGACGCTGAGACCACCCTGCCTGTAAGGACGTAGACCCGGGAAACCCCGGCTGGTGGAGAGTGGGGAGGGGGCAGGGCGGGGCCTCCAGCCGGCTGCTTGCCACCAGCTGGCGGAGAAGAGGACTAGTTGTCCCCTGTCCCCATCCGACGTCGTACTTCTGTTTGTCCTTCCCAAAGAGGGCCAGTAAAATACAGTGCTTATTTCAGGGTTGCTGTGAGCCTGAGATGAGCCAGCCTAGGTAGATCGGAGCCTGCTCAGTGGCTGTTAGGAAAGGCCTCTGTGAGCTTTGCCCCTAATGGGGACTAAGAATTCTGCCCGATGTCAGGCATCTGGATCCTCAGAAAGCAACTTGGGTGGGTGGGGTGGGGCAATGCCCACACCGTGTGTGTGTGTGTGTGTGTGTGTGTGTGTGTGTGTGTGTGTATGCAGGTGGTGTGGGGCCCAGGAACCCTCCCTCCCCCACACCCTATCTGCCCCATGTCCAGCCTCCATTCTTGTGCTCCTGACTCTCCTGCTGTGGCCCTTTAGGAATGGTGTTTCAGGATGAGCTGAGACTTCAGTCCCAGGGGACAGGAACAGTTTGTACTGGCCTGAGTTTCCCAGGCTCAGCCAGCCTCCTCTAGGACGTTGACAAGGCTGGACTCCAGCCCTGTCCTGGGACGGGCCTGGGTTGGGGGCCATTCTCTGAACCCCACCCTGCCCACTCTGTGGTGCAGAACCTGTGTGCATGTATATGGAGCCAGTTGCAGCTGCTCCTTGGCCTCCACTGAGGCCTCTTGAGCCTTCCCCCACCCTTCTTACTTTGCAGCTGCCCACCCTAGGCAGCCAATTGCTCCTGCTTTCCACTGGGAGGTGAGACAGGAAAGCAGCCTCTTCCCTATCCACTGTCTCAGTATTCCCTATCAGGCCTTCCTGGAGGGGGACTTGCCAGGCAGCCCCCTCCACCAGCAGGAACTCTGGGGACAGATAGGGGTCCTGGGTTGCTGGGTGCCTCCCAGAGCAACACATTGCTGGGAGGGGCGAGCCCAAGCAGGGCCTCCATGTGTTCCCTGCCTGTCTTCTGAGCAGCTCTGGCAGAAGAGGGCTTGGGATTATGCCAGCTGTGGGCAGGGATGGTGGTACCTCACCTATTGGGGAGAAACCAGCAGAAACAGGGACAGAAGGCTCAGACAGGCAGATGAAGGCAGAAACAGCCAGGCTTGGGGGACCTCAGAATTAGAACAGAAAGGTTAGAAGGCCATAGAGAAGCCACGAGGGCAGAAAGTGGAGGCTTAGGGAAGTCAGACCTGGTCCAAAAACCCCTGCACTGTCCTGGTTGGCTGTGGTCCTGTGCAAACTACCTAACCTTTCTGTGTTATTTCTCTACCTATAAAATGGGTCTAACTATAAAATGGGTACTAACTTCTGATAGATGGGATTGGCAGAAGACTGAAAGAAAGCTATTAAGCCCATGGTAGCTGGTTAGTGTCACAGCCCTGAACACAGCAAGACAGACCAAAGAGAAACAGTCCCTGACTCTGACCTCTGCCCCACAGAGCAGCACGTTGGCTGCAGCCTTTGTGTAGAAGGTGAACAAATTGGCTGGTAAGGGGGTGTGGGCTCCGGTCTGGAGCACCACACCCCACCAGCCAGGCAGCCTAGTGCCCTGCGCTGCCGTGTACTCATGTCCTAGGAACTTGGATGCCTGCCTTTTGGAATTCCTGCAGAGGTCCGGAAGGCAGATCTGGAGCTGCCTTTTGCTTCGTAACTTAGGGAATTCTTTCTAAATTCCACCTTCCAACGCTTGCCCCTGACATGCCACACTTCTGTCTCCAGTCCCTGGGAGGAGGACTAGTCCCACTGCCCAGTGAGCTGAGGATAATCCACAGCTTCTCTGTGCCCGGAAGAGCCACTGAGGCTCCACAGACTCAGCCCTGGGGTGTCCACCCAGCCCTTACACAGCTTGAGCTCTGGGTGCTCTGTGTGTTGGTGCCTGCGGTGTTGGGGAAGTGTCCTGCCCCAGGAGCCCAACCCAGTAGCCAGACAGACCTTAACGGAAGTGCAGCTCAGGGGTGTAGCACTTGCCTAGCACATGTAAAGCCTTGGGTTTGATCCCCAGCATTGCCAAACAAACAAAAAAACTCATTGTGGTTCTATTCAGATGGTCATGGGGGGAACAATAGCCCCCTCTATAGCGGGGTTGTAGGGGCTGCAGGTTGCCAGGGTATCCCGAAGCAGGCCAGTCCAGTAAGTGCACTGTCCTCAACCACATGGAGGGTCACTGCTGCCCAGACCTGGGCCAGGAGGGCAATGTGGGATCTTTGAAGGCTGCTCTGGTCCCCTTGGTAGCCAACCCCAGAACAAAGCTGAGGGAGAATTCCTCACTGTCCTTTGGGCTACAGGGTCTATGGTGATGGCTGAACCAGTAGGAAAGCCTTGAGTACAGGGAGGAATGGGGGGCTTGGGCTCTTGGGTGGCTTCCTGGAAGAGGCCAGCCTTGAAAGCTGGGGAGGACTGGGTGTTCCAGGGTGGCCTGAGCAGGGGTGGCTGTGTAATGGGAGGTATGTGAGGGCAGTGGACTGCCTGGGATTGAAGGACAGGATGGGGAGCCACAGAAGAAGGTTGAGGGGGCCAGTGGTTGAACTTGGAGGGCTGGGCTAGCTGCTCCTTATCCTATGGAATCCTGTCCACCACTGTGTCCTGTGAAGCAGATGCTAGCCCCACTATTGCTGGTGGCAGTTGGACTGTGCTTGGAAGTCATTTTCCAAAAAAGCCTCCATGCTTGATGCATGAAATGAGTAACAGTCACTAGCACCCCTCCAGGGTGGCAGCCAGGACTGGGTCTGGCACTGGCGTCAACCTCCATTGGGCACAAAGTAGATGCCTGGTGAATCAAGAGTTCTAGTTTCCCTGTTTCCTGATGAGTAAACAGGTCAGACTGAGGACCCTCTAGCTCCGTTTCCTGAGCACAGAGAACACAAGGCCGGCCCCTCAACCCTGCCCCTCCCCGCCAGGCCCCTGGCACACACACAGGCTTCCTGTCCCTCCATCCGGCAGACAGGCTTGGAGCTGAGGCCCTGCTCCTGTGTGCAGGAGGGACTTTGTGCTGTCCTGAGCTGTGGCTGTAGAGCTGTGGGCTGGGGCGTGGGTGGAACTCCCTGGGGATGGGAGGGACCTCGCTGCTGAGTAGGGCGACTAAGTGATCCTGTCTTCTTGGTATACATATGTAGGAAGAGACATTGAGAAACGTCCATGGACAGGGAGAGACAAAAGATCACAGACACACAGGGAAAGATAGCCTCAGCCCCAGCTAGGGATGCACAGCCTGGTTAGGTGGTCATGGCTGGAGTTCAGCCTCCACTCCCTGCTTGAGTGTGGATGACCTTATCAGGTGAGCGTCCTGCAGGACCGCATATGGACGCTTTGATGTAGAAAAGGAAGGAGAGAGGCAGAAAGACAGAGATTAAGAGACTGATAGAGAAAGTTTATGATGAATAAGAAAAATGTCAGAAAGGAAGCAGCAGAGTACAGGCTCTGATCCCAGGCTCTTGGCTGAGGCTCGGTTCCAGGGTGATTACTGGAACCCAGCATTCCAATCTGCGTTGACTTCTGTGAGTTGGGAGGTGTCTGCCATACAGATGAGGAGTGAGAGGCTCTGAAGGCCAGGTGACATAACTGAGATCTAACATCTTGATAGCAACAGAGAAGGACTAGAACCTTTGAACCAGAAGATGGAAAGGGGACAGAGATGAGAGGAGGGCAGGAGGAGCAGGAGGTGGTGCTGGGGGCAGGGTCCAGGCCTCTTGCCTTGTCAGTGCCTCTGGCTTGAAGATCTACCTGGCGGGTGGCCCGTGGTGGTTCTGGGGTATCAGGTTCTCGGTGGAGCCTGGCCCCTCCCGTCCCCATTTCCTCTCTCTGTGTCAGCATTTTCAGCCCCCTTATTATTCCCGGATCATCCTGGGGGTTCTTCAGAAAAACAAGAAACAGTTTTTCCCAGAATCAATGCCCAGATAGCCTGACAGCCCCAAGGGAGGGATGGGGCCATGGTAGTGCTGGAGCAGGAGGAGGTTTAGGATGCTATAGTGGGGACATATAATGTCAGTAGAGCTGGGCTTTGGTTGTGTAGTGGCTCCAGGAACCTTATTTGTATTATCTCAGTCACTCAACAACCCCACAAGAATACTATTATTGTTCTTGTGTATAGAGAAGGAGCTAGCTTATTGGGCTTCACAGCTGGGTTGGAGCTGGGGTGGGTAGAGGGTATGGAGCCGGAGGTGGCCTGTGCTGCACCACTGTCCAGAAGAGCTAGAAAAGAGCCTCTGAGGAAGGTTCTGTTGCTGCTGAATTCCATCTGCCTCCCTCCCCCCGAATTCCGTGGCTACAGACCCTCGCCCATTCACCAGGAGCTCTGTTCCCATCCCAGAAGCCCCAGACTCAGTTTTTCCTCCCAGGGGCAGGGGTGCAGGGGAGGTAGAGACCCAGCTCAGGGAGGAAAGGGAAGGGAGCTGTGCTGGCCCCTGTATGGGCTTGGAGGCTGGAAAGGGACGTGGCCAGGCAAGTGGGCCTGGGACCCCTGAGACTGGGCAGGAGCCCAGCCGGTTTGCACATGGAGGTGGAGCAGGAAAGAGCCCCTTGCTTGCTAGTCCTGACTATGCACGCATCACTGTTCCCACGCCTCCATCAAGTTCTCAGGGCAGCCTCCACCCACTCAATTTCTCCTCTCTGCCTCCGCCAGTTCCCCACTCTCATGGGTGAGATGTTACAAAGGAGACTGAAAGCCTGGGCTTCTGTCTGGGCTCAGGAAATACTGGACCCCTTGGGAGCCTCCTCGAGCCGCCTGGGTTGGGATCCCAGCTCTGACACTGCAGCCCGTGTGGCCTTGGCAGGGTTCTCACCCTCCTGTGCCTGCTTATGTTCTGTAAAGTGTGGGCTCAACTGCTACTGCTGGTTGGCGCTGAGGTGTGCTGTACCTGAAATGATCCTGCAAACTACTCAGCGGCCGCTCTGCCCCAGCTTGGTGAACAGCAACTGTGCTCAGATTGTTCGTGTTGTGAGGAAAGGTATATGGCCCCCAGTCAAGAGCTTAGTGGAAGATGGTGGCTGAGTAGGGGAACCAAGGCTACAGTAGGGGGCCTGGGATTGCTCAGGGAGTACATTGTGGGCCCTGGGACAGAGCAGGGTAGGAAGCCAGGAGCTGACTGATGAGACCCAGGGGTGGGGGTTGGTGCTGTACAACACATGGACCCCATGGCTGCTGGGACTGGATAGGAGCAGGGAGGCATGGGACAGGGCCTCAGGTACCAGTGCTGGGGACAGAGGCGCAGATGGGAGCAAGTGTGGTAGTTATGGCTGGGTTCTGGGCTCCTCCTGTGCTCCCCTTCTCTGGGGGTCTCAAGGCAAAGCTGTGCTTTCCCTGATAGGACCTGCACACCATCTCTTCCTCCTTGCCATCCACCCACGGTTCTCCCCTCGCCCCACCTTGGAATCTGGCCTCTGACTGAGCAGCTGATGCCTCCACTCTTCAACTCTGCCCTTGAGGGCCTTCAGCAAGACAGAGCCCAGCCACTCCCTATCCGCTTCCCCTCCCACAGCCAGTCAAGGAGGATTAGAGCTGCTTTTTGAGTAACACTGTGTCCTCCTCAGGGTCACCACAGAGACCCCACAGCACTGGGAGGATAGAACAGGCACTCACTCTTGGGCAGCTGCTCCCGTGAATGGGGAAGGATTTCCAATGGGCTTGGCAGTTCCGCCAATATGTACTTCTGGGGTACATGATCTCTCGGGGACGATGGATGTGGATTAACACTGGGACAGACTGTGAAGGGTATCTGAAGGGTACCCCTGACTATGGCCTCTCCCTGGGCGCAGAACTGAGTCCCCACAGTGAGCGTGGTGCCAGCACAAGACCAAACCACCAAAAAAGAGTCCTCTAGCCTGGCTCCCTCCTGCATGCCATGTATTCGAGGTGGTGGAAGGATGGAAACTCCCCTGCCATCATGCTCTTTGAGCCCCTTTTCCCAATCAAGCTCTGTTTCCTGTTTTTAGGTTCCACATCCTGAGAACTGGGATCCCCCAGGACTCTGTGACTCCCACACCCACACTGGGGCCCTGGCCCACCTGAATTCTTCAGACCTCACCTGGTGAGTTGCCTGGCACTCAGGGAGGGTGGGAGGAGCACAGATACAGCCTGGCAGGGGACAAGGGGCAGGCGATAGGTGGGATAGGTGGTGGGGCACAGTGGCCTTGCTTACAGAGGGTGTTGGAAATTTGCTGTGGAGAGCAGAAGGCGCTCTGCGGATGAGGGGGTGAAGGTTTGCTGCTGGGGGATTACTGGGCAGGCAGGGTGCAAGCAGCAGAGATAGTTAAGGAGACCTGCAGGGAAGGAGGAGCCTTAGAACCTCAGACCCCGAGAGTGTGTGGGTGAGGGGTGGGGGTAGCGCAGCAGCATTCCAGAGATATTCACAGGGTGTGGGGCCAGGGACCGTGACCTTCCCTCTTCTCTTCTCTGAAAAATTGCAAGCAGATGTGGGTGCCTCAGGGAAGCTTAGCTGGGTGAGATTTAGGAACATTCAGCTCAGGACCAGCAGCCTCCAATACTCAGCCCAGAGGATGGACTCCTTGAGGTCCTGACCCTCTTCCCACCCACAGGGTGAGGCCAAGCAGAAAATGGAGAGGAGCCCATTTCTGTGGGAGGTGGGGACCTCCAAGGGTGAGGGATATGGGGCTGGTGCAGGGGTGTGCTGACAGTGTTTCACAGCTGCTCCAGCGGGTTGGCCTTGAGCACTGTATGCGGACGTTTCCCCCACCTCCAACATGGCTAATGCAGTCTTGTTGACTGTGCCATTGGGAAGAGATGTGCACAGTTGCCCATCCTCAGCCAGCTGCAGCACACTGCAGTTGTGAGACCACCTGGATCCAGCCCCATTTCCACCCTGTAGAGCAGGAATCCTAGCAACATTTTGTTAGAGTGACTTTGGCTTCTACCTACATACATCAATGACAGGAAGCTCACCCCTGAGGAAGCCAGTTCAATTACTGTGCTGTTCTGGCTGTTGGAAAGTCCTGAGCCAGAGTCTGTTTCCCTCAGAATCCCCTTCATTAGCTCCAGTATCATCATGCCTTGATGTAGATATCAAAATATACTGGGTGCATACTAGGCTAGGGGCTGGGCATTCAGAGATAAAGGGGTCTGGGACTTTGTTTCTGGAGGAGGTGGTGAGGGGACATTGTTAGAACAGTGGTGTGTGGGTGGATAGTGCTGGGGGGGGGTCTCTGGAGATATGAATGGGGCAGTCAGCAATGGAGCACAGTAGACAAGGAGAGGGTTCTTTGAGTCAGGCCCTGATCGATGTGTGTCCTGGAAAGAATGAGGACCAGAGACTCTAACTTAACCAAGAGCAATCTGGTGGGAGAGATCTTGCCTCTACTCAGGAGTAAGATCTGGGAAGCCAGAGCTGTGGAAGCATGGGGCCAGAGGCAGCAGCTGCTTTCTTCCGCACAACCACTGCCCAGATCTCTGCAGACATTGTGTTCTGGCTGCTGGCCACAGTGCGTTTCATCTGCTGGGCGCCTGGCCCTTTTTGCAGGTTCTGGCAATGTTGCCACCTCTGCGTTTCCTCCTTCTCCTGGCCCTAGACTTGGGGCTGAGCAGAACTCTCAACTCCAATGACCCCAACACTTGCAGCTTCTGGGAAAGGTGAGAGGGGCCCCTGCTGTTTGTACTGTGAGGCACCAAGCCCAGACTCCCTGTCTCCCAGGGCTCCTCTTCCTGGCTCCTTCCCTTGCCTGATACCCTCTCCCCAGCCTCTTCCCTGCTCTGATCTCTGTTTCTGCTCTCCTTTCCTGGGCTGTCTCTGCCCTTTCCCCATCTCATCCCTGGGTTCCTGTGGGAGACCAGCTGCAGGACAGAGTGCAGGATGGAACCATTCACTGTGAAACAAACAGAGTGGCTGGCCAGGGGTGAGGGAGATGGGGCTAGGAAGCAAGACCCGGGGCAGAATTTAGCCAGAAGTGCTTCAGCTCATCACCACCATCAGCCTAACCTGAAAGTCAGCCCTCACTCAGTCTTCCCTCATGGACAGAGAGCAGGCCATGAAGGGTGCTTGGATGGGAGGTGTGCTGGGAACATTCCAATTCCAGGGGTCTGCCAGACTAGAAAGGTGGGGCCCAGATGTTGGGGCATTGCTTCTCCATGGAGGCCAAGATCTTGCCTCTGCTTCCCTCCCTGCCCTGTGTCCACTCTGGCCTCTTGTTGCCCTTGCCCTGACCCTCTTCGTTTCATACAGCTTTACCACGACCACCAAAGAGTCGCACTCTCGGCCCTTCAGTCTGTTCCCTTTGGAGCCTTGCAACAAGCCCTGGGAAGACCTCCATACCTGCCCCCAGCCCACGTGAGTGCCCAGTCCCCTCCACAGGGCTCCTGAAGTGTTGCCATCTCTGTCACAGCCTCAGCCTGGCACTGGCCTCTGGCCCTACCCCTTTCTCAGAACCTGTGGCACTCAGAGGAAATCTCTGGCATCAGGACACTCTCATCTCTTCACTCAAGGGCACATGGTCTGTACAGGGAACACATGGCTGGCATGCATATGAATGCATGTGTACATGTGTGTAGTGTATGACTGGCACACATGCATGAATTTGTGCTTGTGTATGGGTAGCACCTGGCTGGCATGTTCATGTTCGTGTGTGAGTGTGTGTATGTGTGTGTGTGTGCACACGCGCAGCAGCCAAGAACACTGAGGGCCTTCTCCTGGGTCTCCCCAGGGTCGTCTACCGGACTGTGTACCGCCAAGTGGTGAAGACAGACTACCGCTTGCGCCTGCGCTGCTGCCAGGGCTTCTACGAGAGTAGTGGGATATGCATCCGTGAGTCCTGCCTTGGGCCAGGGCTGGCATGGAGTAGGAGGGGCTTAGCCCATCTTCTGAAGCTTTCTCTGCCCCCACCATGCTGGGGCTACTCCTGTGCCCCTTCAGGTGCTTGCCTTGGCCACCAGCCAGGGCAGGAGCAGCAGGGCCAGGCACAGATGGACTGGAAGTGGAGGCTGGGCTGCTTGGCTCTGGGGGCCACTCATCTTTCAGCTACATGGGCAAGAGACACAGCTGGGCATCTAGCTGTCCACACAGCCAGGAAGCTGGGGTCCTCAGGGTCCTGAGTAGTTCCTCCTCAGTTCAGTTCATACCGTCTCTGGCTAACCCATCCTCCATATTTCGGAGCTCTTAATCTGTCTTTGTGTGGTGCAGGGCTTGGTGTCTGGGTCCCTTTCTGCCTTTTCCTGTCCCTGTGTCTGCTGTTCTCTGACTTTTGATTCTTGTCTCCTTGCCCACTGCCTCCCCCTGCACACTGTAGCTCCCAGAGTGGAGCCTGCCCTCTCTCCTCTTCCCATCACTAATTCCTGTACTGTTTCCCAGCCTGAACCAACTACACCTTGTCTCAGACAGCTTGAGCCCCACACCATTTTACTGTGTTTAGAGTATTTCACAAGAGGGGCCCGGAAGCCCAGAACCCTGGAGTCTTGTCAAGTCCTGACTTGAGTTGCTTCTCCTCCATTTTTCTCCATCGTGGGACAGCAGTGGGGCTGGAGAGCTTCAGTCCCTGGTGTGGGAGGGAGCTGGGGTGCAGATATAAAAGGTGGGTAGATGTGGGGTGGAGGCATCTTCTCATTCACTCCATCTCTGCCCCAGCGGTTTGTGCCCAGGAGTGTGTCCATGGCCGCTGTGTGGCGCCCAATCAGTGCCAGTGTGTGCCAGGTTGGCGGGGCAATGACTGCTCCAGTGGTAAGTGGCTGGTGACCCCAGAGATGTCCTCCCTACCAGGGCACAGGTGCTTAGGACTCCAGGGGAAATACCCAGAGCCCCACTTTCAGCTAGCTGCCTTTTCCAGAAATGTGGTACAGAGTCAGAATGGGAGCAGGGGAGGGACTAGACAGAATGAGGCTGGGGAGGGGTTAGGCTTCTGATGATCCCTTTCGCCTCCTTATCCTACAGCATGTGGCCCCGAAATGTGGGGGCTGCAGTGTGACCAGTTCTGCCACTGTGGCAACAACAGCTCCTGCGATCCTACAAGTGGGGTGTGTTCCTGCCCCTCTGGCCTGCAGCCTCCCAACTGCCTTCAGCCCTGCACCCCTGGCCACTATGGGCCTGCCTGCCGGCTCCAGTGCCAGTGCCATGGGGCATCCTGTGATCCCCAGACTGGAGCTTGCTTCTGTCCTCCAGGGAAAACGGGGCCCAGGTTCGTAATTTGATGAAGTTGTAAAGTCAGGCCACATAGATATTCTTGGGTGATGAGGCACTCAGAGTCCCAAGTGTAGGAATGGAGTGATCAGGAGACCAGGATCTTAGTCCCAGCTCCGCTGCTTCCTGGCCCAGCAAGTTTGAGGCGCCCGCCTAGTCTTCCTGACTGTGCGAGGGTGCCTGCTGTCTTCGTGGACTGCCACAGCTGGAGGCAGCAGGGGTGTGGGAGTGTGTTGTAAAGGATGACCAAGGCAGGTAGAGAACAGGCATGAGGTTGGGCAGTCCCAGGTCTGTGCTCTTTGTGATCTGCAGTCCTAGCTGGGAAGAGCATGTGTGGCTCCATGAGCCCCACGCAGGGCTTCCTCTTAGGATTGTCCTGTGTGCAAGCGGCCACCTTTGGAGATGAAGTGGGTGATGGGTGCTGCATGTAGTACTTGTTTATACCCTGACTTCACCCACTGTCCTGCAGCTGTGGTGTGTCCTGTCTCCAGGGCACTGCTGGCTTCTTGTGCCCTATCACCTCTCCTTGCCAAAACGGGGGCATCTTCCAAGTTCATCAGGGCTCCTGCAGCTGTCCACCTGGCTGGATGGTATGTATGGTGGGCCTGTGGGAGTCTGGGAGAAGTTCTGGATGAGGCTGTAGACAGCAGTTCAAGGAGGATGTGTGTAAGAGTAGGTTCAGGGGACTCTGGGTCCCAAGGGGTCTTGTGGCCATGGGGAAGCTACTGGGAACCTGGAGTTTTGTTGATTTCTCACCCCCACAGGGCACTATTTGCTCCTTGCCCTGCCCAGAGGGCTTCCATGGACCCAACTGTTCCCAGGAATGTCGCTGCCACAACGGTGGCCTCTGTGACCGATTCACTGGGCAGTGCCACTGTGCCCCGGGCTACACAGGTGATCGGTGAGTAGCACAGGCCCGGGAAAGCCTTGGGGAGCAGACTGGCCGGAGGCAGACATGGTCGTATTCACTCCACACGGTGCCAGGTGTCGAGAGGAATGTCCGGTGGGCAGCTTCGGGCAGGACTGTAACGGCACATGCGACTGCGCCCCAGGTGCGCACTGCTTCCCTGCCAACGGTGCATGTCTGTGCGAACACGGCTTCACCGGGCACCGCTGCGCCGAGCGCCTCTGCCCCGATGGCCTATATGGCCTCAGCTGCCAGACAGCCTGCACCTGCGACCCGGAGCACAGCCTCAGGTGGGTCTCAGGTGGGGGCTGTGGTACAGGGACCCTGACCCCAGGGCCTGTGCTCAGGAGCACCCTCTCTCCGAAGCTGTCACCCAATGCACGGAGAGTGCGCCTGCCGGCCAGGCTGGGCGGGCCTACATTGCAACGAGAGCTGCCCGCGGGACACACATGGGCCTGGCTGTCAGGAGCACTGCCTGTGCCTGAACGGTGGCGTCTGCCTGGCCGACAGCGGCCTCTGCCGGTGCGAGCCCGGCTACACGGTGAGACGCATCCCGCGAGGAGGTTGAAGGGGTAGGTGGGCCGGACAGGACCCTCTTACTAGCGCCTTCCGCTTTCAGGGGCCCCACTGCGCCAGCCTCTGTCCCCCCAACACCTATGGGGTCAACTGCTCCTCACGCTGCTCATGCGAAAACGCCGTCACCTGCTCGCCTGTCGATGGCACGTGCGTCTGCAAGGAAGGTGAGAGGCTGAGTCTAAAATGGTTGGGGGTGGGGCCATGGGAAGGGCCTAGGCTGCAGGATAAGGGCGGAGCTGACCAGGCAGCAGCTGGACTGTGGGAAAGCATCCAGGCTATTTCCTTCCTGGAATATTTACTTTGCTTTTCTAAAATCATAACTCATACTGGTCCTTAAAGGCACAGGCCACAATGTGGCTTACTGTTGAATATTTCTCACCCTCATTTATACAAAACAGTAAGGCGAGTGTGCATCTGTAATCCTAGCTGTCCAGGAGGCTGAGGCAAAAAGATTGTAAATTCGAAGCCAGCCTTGGCAATTTAGCAATACCCTGTCTCAAAATAAAAATTTTTTAAAAGGCCTAAAGTTATAACTTAGTGAGAATGGTTTAGTGCACAAGCCTTGAGTTCAATTCCCTTGAAAAAGAATACAAACAAAACAAAACAAACAAAAAACTACCCTCCCCGCAAAAACCCCCAAATGGTGGCAGTGCCAGAAATGTTGTGGCACATTGGTGATCTTTAGACTGAAATTTGATATATGTGTGTTTTGTTTGGCTAGCTCTCTACTAAATTTAACAAATACCCAATCTCTGTTGTCTTACACATGATCTGATCATTCACTTAGTTATCTACTAAGGCCTCTGTAATCCTTTGGGGTTTTGTTTGTGTAATGCTGGGATTGAACCCTGGGTTTTGTGCAGGCTACATTCCCCCCCCCCCCAGCACCTGTGTATGTTGCCAACTTCCTTCAACATCTAAAAGTTCATATGCATGTGTCTTATGTGGTGCCATGAGCACCCCACTCCTGCTCCCAACTCATAGTGGAGAACCTGCCACAGCCAGAACTTAGGATGTGCTTATGCAGAAGGGCAGCTGGGTACTCATGCTCATATGCAAGTCCCCCTCTAGGTTGGCAGCGTGGTAATTGCTCTGTGCCCTGCCCACCTGGAACCTGGGGCTTCAGTTGCAATGCCAGTTGCCAGTGTGCCAATGAAGGAGTCTGCAGCCCCCAAACTGGAGCCTGTACCTGCACCCCTGGGTGGCATGGGGCCCATTGCCAGCTACCTTGCCCGGTAAGAGCCCACAATCCATGTGTCTGGGAGAAGGGAGGGGATGACACCTCAACTGACTAGTTACCCCATCCTTTGCTTCCTCCCCTAGAAGGGGCAGTTTGGCAAAGATTGTGCTGACCGCTGTGATTGTGACCACTCTGATGGCTGTGACCCTGTTAATGGACATTGCCAGTGCCAGGCTGGCTGGACAGGTGAAAATTTTAGGTGTTCAAGTCTCTTTATGTAGGGGGATGCAGCCCACATAAAATGCCCCTGTGGAACATGAAAGGCCTGGGTCAAGTTCACCCTGCATTCTCTCCCAACAGGCACACATTGTCACCTGCCCTGCCCTGAGGGTTTCTGGGGAGCCAACTGTAGTAATGCATGCACCTGCAAGAACGGGGGCACCTGCCTGCCTGAGAATGGCAACTGTGTGTGTGCACCTGGCTTCCGAGGCCCCTCCTGCCAGAGATGTGAGGCTCCTTGCTCCCACCCTATCCTGCCAGCAGCAGGGTACTATGCAGTGTCAGATGCCAGAGCCCAGCTCAGCAACTTTTGGGCTCTTGGTCTGACTCCAATCTTCAGAACAGCACAGTGGGAAAGATGGGGGGAGATGTTAGCAACCAGGGCTGCCCCTACTTCCCAGTCACCATGTACCCTTGTGTCTAGCTTGCCAGCCCGGCCGCTATGGCAAACGCTGTGTACCCTGCAAGTGCAATAACCATTCGTCCTGCCACCCTGTGAATGGGACCTGCTATTGCCTGGCTGGTTGGACAGGCCCTGACTGCTCGCAGCGTATGTGGTTTGTTTTCTTTGAACAGGGTGTGTACGTGGGTGGGATGAGAGGAGACCTTGGTTTCCCTTCTCTTGGGCATAAAAGCCTATGGACTCACCTTGATGCAGTTATTTCTATAAACAATATGAACAAATACTCATTGGGCAGCACCTACATGCTGGGTACTGGTTCTGGGTGCTGAGAGTGCAGCAGTGAATATCAGGAAAACCATTCCTTGCCCTTTGAGATAGGGCGTCTGAGAAGAACATTGTTTTATGAAAGTAGGGGAAATACTAAGGTCAATTTTGAACATTTTTTTTATATTTTACTTTTCGTTGTATGTATTACATACGTATGTATGTATTTATTCACATGTTGTCTTTCCCACATAAATATATGGAGATGGTGATGGAAAAGACAAAACAGAAATTAAAGCCAGTTTTGAAAAGGGGACACAGAAGCTGTTGCCTTGCAAAAATCTGGAATTAAGCTTCCCAGCAGTCAGAGTGAAGAAGGAAATTATCCTGGTGAAGAATTTGTCCATAGAATTTAGTAGAAACTATTAGGTTACTTCTAGGGTCAAGGACACAAAAATAATACATTTAATAGGGTAGATATTACTTCTTCCTTAGGTTAAAAAACAAGACAGGAATCCAAGTCCAGACCTAAGGAATCCAGGGTAGTTTAGGAGCTTGTGGTGGCCTGGTCCTGGGTGTGTCAGTTTGTAGTGGCTTTAGACAGTGGGTGGATAGACACGCGGGCCTGGCATTCAGCGGATGAAATAAAGTTAGTGTGAGTCACTGGTGCATAGATACGGTCTGAAGCTTTAGTGATTCCTAGAGACTAAGACCAAGCAAAAGACTGGTGAGCCAGGTGTGATGGTGCATGCCTATAATCCTAGTATTTGGGAAGGTGAAGCAGGAGGATCACTGAGAGTTTGGGGCAGCCTGCACTACATAGTGAGTTCAAGGCTAGCCTGACCTACATGGTGAGACCCTATTTCAAATGAGAAAAGTCCTTAAGGGACCCTAGGGAGTCAGGGTTAGTCCCAGAGGGGAGGATCCACCCACAGCAGGCCCCTTGTCTCCTACAGCATGCCCCACAGGCCACTGGGGGATTAACTGCGCCCAGTCCTGCCAGTGTCAACATGGTGGGACCTGCTACCCCCAGGATGGGAGCTGCATCTGTACCTCTGGTTGGACTGGACAGTATTGCTCAGAAGGTACCCACAGCAGGGGACACCATCCCTGTGCAATTCAGCCCTCACTAGGGAGGAGGCTGCAGCTTCCTGTTTCCTGTGACCCCAGCTTGCCTCCTGGGCTTTCTCTCCAGTCTGTCCTCCAGGGATGTTTGGTGCTAACTGCTCCCAACCATGTGAGTGTGGTCCTGGAGAGAAGTGCCACCCAGAGACAGGGGCCTGTGTGTGTCCCCCAGGGTATAGTGGTGCACCCTGCAGGATTGGTGAGTTCTCAGCCCTCTTCACTCACACTGTCCCCAGGGAATAAGGATTAAGGGCTGTCACACCATCTCTGCCTTCTACTGGGCACTTTTCCTAGACAAATACCCTAGCTCACAGAAGAGCTAAGATACCCCCCTGAGTGTCCACCTCACCTCACACAGGAAGCCAGGAGCCCTTCACCATGATGCCTACCTCTCCAGTGGCCTATAACTCACTGGGTGCAGTGATTGGCATTGCAGTGCTGGGATCCCTTGTTGTGGCCCTGATAGCACTCTTCATTGGCTACCGTCATTGGCAAAAGGGCAAGGAGCATCAGCACTTGGCAGTGGCGTACAGCAGTGGGCGGCTGGATGGCTCTGAGTATGTCATGCCAGGTGAGCTGGCATAGAGGCGTGTGGCACAAATGAGGCATGGGAAAACAGGGTGCATGGGAAAATGGGAAGTAGGGAGGAGGAAGGGAGGTCAGGGAGGCTGAATTACTGATCTGGGACAAAATGGGCCATCTCTGCGCTCCCCTGTGTCTGTCCTGCAGATGTTCCTCCAAGTTACAGCCACTACTATTCCAACCCCAGCTACCACACCTTGTCACAGTGCTCCCCAAGCCCCTTACCCCCTAACAAGGTCAGTGCTGGAGAGGGGATGCACTGGAGGGATGAGTGCATACCTGGCTTGTGGGGAAGCCCAGTCCTTGAGTCTGCTCTGCCTATGGCACTATCAGGTTCCCGGCAGCCAGCTCTTTGCTAGCCTCCAGGTGCCTGAGAGGTCAAGTGGAGCCCACAGACATGACAACCACACCACCCTGCCTGCTGACTGGAAGCACCGCGTGGAGAGCCCTCTAGCATCTCTGGACAGAGGTAGGGGCTGGAGGCCATGGTTCTGGAGTGGATGCATCTGTGTAACCTGCTGCTGCTCTTGCTGAGTGAGTGCAGGAAAAGGACTGAGGCCCAGTTATAGAAGAGGCTAGAACCTGGGAACTGGACCTTGACTGCAAGTTGCCTCCCCCTCTTTAGGTAGCAGCCGCCTGGACCGAAGCTACAGCTATAGTTACAGGCACGGTAATGGCCCAGGCCTGATCTCTAATAAAGGTATAAGCACAGGGGCTTTGAGGGAGGGGTGGACTTGGGTCAAGAGCCAATGTCTTCATGGAAACTCAATTATTTCTTCAAACCCTAGGGAGCATCTCTGAAGAGGGGCTGGGGACCAGCTTGGCTTCCCTGAGCAGTGAGAACCCATATGCCACCATCCGAGACTTACCCAGCCTGCCGGGGGGGCCCCGGGAGAGCAGCTATGTGGAGATGAAAGGCCCTCCCTCAGCTTCTCCTCCCAGGCAGTCTGTTCAGCGCCAGAACAGCCAATGTTGTTGGCAGCCCCAACCACAGAGAGACAGTGGCACCTATGAGCAGCCCAACCCACTGACCCTGGGTGAGTGCTCCCTCTTTGAAGGGGAAGGACCGGAGCAAGAGAGGAACAGAGAGAAACACAGGGAGAGAATAAAGAGGTGGTCAGACTTGGGCTCAAACCAGGTGACACCGGAGCAAGAGAGGAACAGAGAGAAACACAGGGAGAGAATAAAGAGGTGGTCAGACTTGGGCTCAAACCAGGTGACACTGGGGAAGTCACATTGTCCCTCAGAGCCTGTTTCCTCATCTGTAGGGTTCTCTGCACTCAGAGGCTGAGGATTTAAGTAGTGGTAGTGTAGCACCTGAGAAGTGGGGGGCAAGTTAGGGGACAGGCTGAAGTGATCTCTCTCACTGGAAGCTGAGGGCTGGAGAGGCTTTCGCCCAGGGCTGCCCAGCCAGGTGGTAGTAAATGTGCCATGTCCAATGCCTACTTCTTATTGGGCAGAAGGTGCTGGAGGGGGAGGTGATGGGTGGGAGGTTGAGGAACTCTTCTCTCTTATCTTGTGCCTTTTGTCTCCAGATCGAGACTCCATGGCCTCCCAGCCCCCTCTTCCTCCAGGTCTGCCCCCTGGCCACTATGACTCACCCAAGAATAGCCACATCCCTGGACACTATGACTTACCTCCAGTACGGCATCCCCCATCACCCCCACTCCGGCGCCAGGACCGCTGAGGAGCCAAGATGATATGGCTTTACCTGGCCCTTGCCACCCAAGGCTGGGGACAGAGCTTTGTGTATACTGCCAGGAGCAGGGAGAGGGCTGGGAGGCCGTGATGTGCACATATTTAATGAAGGAGGTGAATGGAGAGCTGGGAGCCTCACTGTAGTTCCCATCAGAGGAGACAGTGGTGGGCAGGATGACTGGTTCCCTGTCACAGACCTGCTGCTCCCCAGCCCCTCAGGGTCTTGTGTACATAAACTGGTGGTTGAATGTTGCTGGATGACTCTGATTTCAGATTGATTTTTTTTTTTGGTACCGGGGATCAAACTTACAACCTTACGCTTGGCAGGCGAGTACTTATGCCGCTGAGCTAAAACCTCAGATTGATTTTTTTTTTCACATAAAGGTGTGGTTTAACAGATTGATTTTTAAAATGTGTAATGGGCACCTTTTCTGTGCACACCTGTAGGGCACTGTGTGTGTGGTCCTGTTCTTGGGCATTTACCACTTAGCCCAGCAACAAGCCAAGGAGCCCAATTAGCTCTAGCAGTAACTCTGCTCTGGCCTTCTGCCTTCACTCACCACTCCTCCATCCACTACTCAGACACACCTGGGTTAGCTTGCCAAAAGGCTTCCTGTCTTCTTACGTGGCCCTTTGCTCCTGGGCCAGGGTCAAAGCTTTCAAAGGTTTTAGAGGCCTTGCTGCTGGGCTAGTTTGTCTCTCCCACTCCATCTTGAACTGTGTTCCCTAATTCTAATCACACTGGCCCCAGGTTCTGCTGGTTCTGCTGGTTGTCACACTTCTTCCTACCCAAGGGGCTTGCATGCCATGGTGCTCTTCTTCTTGTCACATGTGGGCCCAGTGTGTTCCTCTGAGGACCAGCAAGGGGCAAGCATCACTCTGATTTCGTATTGCTTGTGTGATTATTGCATTGTTTTCTGCCTACTAGACTGTACATTTCCTGAAGGCAGGACTCTTGTGTTTATGCTCAGTATTGTTTACCTTTGGCACTCAATAAACGTTTCCTAAAACACTTCGTGGCTGAGTTAATAAAAGTATAAATGATGGGGGTTGGGGATTTAGCTCAGCAGCGTAAATGCCTACCTTGCAAGCAGGCAGTCCTGAGTTGGATCCCCAGTACCGATAGAAAGGAAAAAGACAAAAAAAAAAAAAAAAAGTGTAAATGACACTGTGGTAAGTGCTACCACAGATGGTCACATTGTGTGCTCTAACAGCAATAGACTATCTTTATCAGAAGCCCTCCAAAGGGTGGGCTTTCTTCAGACGAACAGAGTGGGGTTCTGAGGCAGGAAGACCTTGGAAGAGAATACACTCAGAAAGGGCCCAGCAGGGGAGAACACTTGGGGTTTAGATCAGCCTTCAGCCTAGTGGCTTAGCTCTCAGACCTCCAGGAGCCTGAACAGATGTGGTGAAAAGGGACCTAGCACCACATCCTCAGTTTGGATCTCTCTGGTTTTTTTCTTGGTGCTTTCTCTTTATATGGTAGGTGGGCAGTCCCTGGAGTGAGGACTTGCCCCTACCTGGACTCTCCCTGGTGTTCTTTGATTCCCTGATCCTGCTCTGCTGGCTCAGTTCCCTGGGTGACTTTGGATTACCCGGCCCTGGCCCATCTTTGTGCTGTGTGCTGTGGTTTGTTGGAGGATCCACTCTGCTCCTTCGCTATGGCGCAGCCCAGGTTTTGGGTCACTCTGGCTCTTCTCTGCTCAGATCCTAGGCCCAGGAGCACAGGAGTTTGCTGTTGACCGCCACTGCCCATGTCACGCCCCTCCCATGCTTATCCCGTCCCTCCTCCAGCCGTCCTTTCCATCCCACCGGTCAGCCCCGCCTCTACCTCTATTAGCTCCGCCCCTCGGCGCAGCCCCGCCCCCTACTGCCTGGGCCCGCCCACCTCGCTCGGTTGTCTGGGAGAGGGACTTGTAGGACTCACGCAGCTGGCTGGTCGGATTCCCGTGGGTGCCCGCGGAACGGACATCATCACCAGGGGGAGCCTCACAAGAATCCTGTTGTGCCTAGCCGTTCCCACGAAGGTGGCAAAGGCACCAGCATGTCGAGTGAGCCCGGAACAGCAGCCAAGACCCCGCGTCCTGGGACCCAGAAGTCGTCCGGCGCAACGACCAAGAAAGGGGAGCGAACAGCCAAGGAGAAGGTGGCGGTTGTCCAGCCGCAGACGGGCGAGGAAGAGCACAAAAACCCGGGTACGCTGGGCTGACTGCGGGATCAGGGGAACCGAGCTCCAGGTGCGGCTCTGGCCTTCCCACCCGCCTCTCCCTGGTCCCAAGTTCCCGAGTTCCTGAGCCTAGGCTTGGCAGTTAAACTTGATCTTAAAGAAGCCACATGTGGTTTGGGATGCTGACAAGCACAGTACGATGTGATAAAATATGAGATGTATGAGGGGAAGACCCAGGGAATGATGGAGGTGGGGTCTGCCAGAAGGTGTCTTAAGCAGTCTATAGATCTTCATTCATTCAGCCGTTATTTTTTGAATGTCTGCTTTGACACCAGGATAGATTCAGAAAACAAAGTTGGACACAGTCCTGCTTACATGGAACTTATGTTCTCTAGAAAAAGAGAATAAAACTTTATAAGTCATACTGAGTGATATAAATAGGGGGTGGCTCTTTATTGCAAAAGAGTTTTTTGGACAGATGCTGCTGCCCCCTCCTCCTCATCTTTTTTTTTTTTTTTTTAATTTGGCTGGTACCAGGGATCAAACTCATGACTGAGAGCTTGCAAGGCAGGCGCTAACGCCACTGAACTAAATCCCCAGCCCCTTCTTATCTTTTTGAGACAGGGTTTCACTATTCAGTTCAGGCTGGCCTTGAGCTCACTTTGTAGCTCCAGGCTGGTCTCAAACTCAAAACAATCCTCCTGCTTCAGCCTCCCAAGTGCTGGGATTACAGGCGAGTGCCACCACACCTGGCTGCCTGGCTTCTTTCTTTCTTTTTTTTTTTTTTTTTTTCGTTTTTATCGGTACCAGGGATCGAACTCATGACTGCCTGCTTGCAAGGCAGGCACTTATGCCGCTGAGCTAAATCCCCAGCCCCGCTGCCTGGCTTCTTAATACAAATTTGACAGCTTTGCCATGAGAGACGGACAGTCAGTTATTGCTTTGGACTGGAGGTGTTTTACTTGGAAAAAGGTGCTGGTTGTCTAAACTTGCCAGATACCATCTTGCTGTCAGTGCCAGTGGCTGTAGGTGGGTGGAGAATTAGGAGAGCTAAAAAAGGATATCTTTCAGAAGGGACAATAAGACAGGGTACAATTTCCTAGAGCAGAATTGTCACTAGGACCCATTTCATAGAAGACGGTTTTTCCATGCATGGGGTGTTAGTGGATAGTTTCAGGATGACTCAAGCACATTACATTTATTGTGCTTTGTTTAGTTCTAGTATTATGTTATTACATGAAATAGTTTTTATTTTGAGAATGGATCTTGCTTGTAATTCAGGCTTGCTTTGAACTCACCATGTAGCACAGGCTGGCCTTAAACTCATGGCCATCCTCCTGCCTGGTATCACATGAAATAATTACACAACTTACCATAATGCAGAATCAGTGGGAGCCCTGATTTGTTGGTCTGCAACTCGACAGTCCCATCTGTGGATGATGAGAGACAAAGTATGTTGTCTGTGTCCAGTGTACTTTGTAATCTCATTTTTGTTCCTGTCACTTGCAGAAAACCCTGTTTCACAAAGACAGAATGTTAGAAATGGAAGCAGGCTTTTCAAGTGCTTTTGTGGCAATCTCAGACATTAGTCCAGAATGCAGGGAGATTTGAAATTGTCTCACATATACTTCAAAGACCACTGCCACTTGTGATCTTAAATAGTTGATCCTATTCTAGTATGGACAGAGTTGTTCCCCAATTTATGAATTGGTCCTAGATCCATTCCTTTTCAGTTTGGGGGTCTTTTGTGGTTGGGAAGTCATGCTCAAACTTTTTGAAAGATGAGTTACATGATTATGTATCAGCTAGGGAGAAGGAAAGCCCTGACTTACTCCCCTTCTGCTAATATTTGAAGCATTTTAAAAATCTCAATGTTTAAGCCAGGTGTGGTATCACATAACCTGTAATCCCAGTACTTGGGAGGATAAGGCAGGGAGATCACTGTGAATTTAAAATCAGCGTAGGCTACACAGTGTGTTCAAGGCCAGCCTGAAATGCCTAGTGAGATTCTGTTTCAAACAAACAAACAAAGTTTTCTCATGATCCTCATAATTCCAGTTTGGCTTTGAATGCAGTCACTTTATCTGCTACTTTGACTATAGCTGTAATTCTCCCCTGAAGAAGTTGATTGAGTTTGCTGTAGACTGAGGTTGAATGTCACACAAATAAGCAAGTTTTGAGTTCCCTTGTGTAACTGCATGTGCATTGGTAGTGACTATTTTTCTAAAAGAAATATCTAGAGCTGCTTTCCTAACTCAGAAACTCTGGCCAGTGATCTATCTTTAGAGGGCCATTGCATCTCTGGTTTTGGGAAGAGTGTGTGCTCTGCACACCTCTCCTTATAGCTTCCTGAACCAATGTGAGTTATGGGCATGCATATGAATGTGGCTGATAGTATCAATCACATCTTGCAAACAACATTAAGTTCAAGTGACTTTTTTTCCATCTAGCCAGGCTTTTTCTATGGATGATATAGTGGAAGTATGTAATATTTGGAAATGACCTCTTGACCTGAACAGCAAAGCCAGAAAGTTGTCCAGTCATGACAGCTGCTCTGCCTGTGCATGTAACACAAAATAATCATTTGGTTTTCCTGACATGTGATCATTTAGACTTGAACAGTTCTGTGCTGCAGTATTGCTGGCAACATCAGTGCCCCTGACATACCTTCCTTTCTGCTCACCCCGCAGAGGAATACCAGTGCACCGGAGTGCTGGAGGCTGACTTCGCTGAGCTCTGTGCCCGTTCGGGCTATACTGACTTCCCCAAGGTCGTCACCAGGCCGCGCCCGCAGCGGATCTCTGATTCCTTGGCCTCCACGTCAGAAAAACCCAACCTCGGTCAGTGGTAGTGGCTGCACATGGGGCTGTGAGTGTGCGAGGCTGGGATTCCTGACAGCGTCTCACCTCCTTACCTGATTTCCAGATGACCAGCGGCTTTCAGCATCCTGCAGCCTCAACAGCCTGGAGAGCAAGTATGTGTTCTTCCGGCCCACTATCCAAGTGGAGCTGGAGCAGGACGACGGCAAGGCGGTGAAGGAGATCTACATCCGTGGTAGCCTGCCCTACTACTCTACCCAGCCCGGCCCTGGTCCCCTAGGTCCTGCCCCAGATTTAAGGCCCTCCTCTCCTGTAGGCTGGAAGGTGGAGGACCGGATTCTGGGGATCTTCTCAAATTGCCTGCCCTCCCTCAGCCAGCTTCAGGCCATCAAGTGAGGACCCTGGATGGAGAAAGGGCCAGTGTATGAGCTGTGCTCCTGGTGGCTCAGGATAGATACAAAAAAGGGCAGACTGTCCCGAGTCCCAGCACCCTGAAATGCTGAGGAAGGAGGATCAAAAGTTCCAGACCAGCTGGGGCAATTGAATGAGACTTTGTCTCAGAACACAAGATAGATCTATTTATTTATTTATTTATTTATTTATTCATTCATTCATTCAAAGTACAAAATTTACAAAGGGCTGGGTGCAAAGCTCCTGGGTTCAGTCCCCAGTAACACACACACACACACACACACACACACACACACACACACACTCATACCAGACTGCATTGTGGGGTGGAAGGTAGAAAGGGCCTGTTGGAGGACTGGCAGGGATCTTCATAGCAGGTAACCGCTTGCTCATTCTGTGTTTTCTGCTGACTGCAGCTTGTGGAAAGTAGGGCTGACGGATGATACCCTAAGCACCTTCATCAGTCTCCTGCCTCTCTGCTCACCAACTCTCAGGTCAGTGGAAGGGAGAGCAGCTGGGCTGGGTGGATGTCAGGGAGACAGTTGGTATGGAAGTGGCAGGTGGCTCTTGGGCCTGGCATCCCTATCGTTGGGTCATGAAGCTCTCCCTTGACAAGACTCAGTCCCATTTCAGTCCTCACCAGTATCCAAAGAGCCCAGCCCTTGGGCCTTGCCCTCTCCTGTCTATCAGCCCCACTACCATCTACTCTTCCTGGAGGTCATCTCCCTTGTTCTTTGGCCCAGGCCTGTGGCTGGGAAGACAGTTCACATCTTGTGGGAGCTCACAGCCAGGGAGGCAGAGAAAAGGTCCCAAGAGTAGACCTTGCAGGGCAGTAAGGGTGGTGGTGGTGAACTAGTTCCACTCACTTCTTGGGAAGGAGCAGGAAGACCTGGAAGGCTGCTTAGAGGAGTTGGTTCTGGGGTTTTCCTTGGAGGACTGTGACTAGGCCCAGCTAGGCATTGGAAAAGGACATTCCTGTACAGGGAGGGGAGCAGATGCCTGACGAGAGGGGGCTTAGCTACAGGTTCTGGTGTACAAAGAACCAAACTGACTTGGCTGTCTACCCCTTTGCATCTTGACCTCTCCACAGAATGTCCCCCAGATTCTGCTGTACCTTGGGGCTTACCTGACTCCTGCTCCAGGACAGGCTATGTGCTCCTTGGGGCAGGGACTGTGGCTTCTCTTAGCTGAGTCCACAGTATGCTGTATAGAACCCCATGAAGCATACATTTCATTCTATCATGGAAACTAGAAATGATTTAGCTAGCAGAGAAAGAACTGTGTGAGCTCATTATGTAAGAATAAGTCAGATAGCAGCATAAAAGTAATTTTTGTTTTTTGGTACTGGGGATCAAACTCATGACTTTGCACTTTCCAGGTAGGCGTTTAATGCCTGCTGAGCTAAATCTCCAGCCCCCATAAAAGTAATTTTAAAAACACTAAGTTTGGTGGGGGATTTAGCTCAGTGGCATAAGCACCTGCCTGGCAAGTGTGAGGTCGTGAGTTTGATCCCTGGTTTAAAAAACAAATACACAAAGTTTATGTGAAAGGAAGGTAGCTTGAAATGATTGTGCAAAAAAACCCAAAAAACAAAACAAAACAAAAAAACCCCAGAAAAATCATGGGAGAAAACATTTAAGCTGAGAAATTTCAGCTGGGTGCGGTGGCATACATTTGTGATCCCAGTGCTCAGGAGACTAAGGCAGGAAGATCTCTGTGAGTTTAAAACCAGTGTGGACTATATAGCAAGAAAAAGATTTTTTCCCTGGTTCAGTTTTTGTTATGATGCAAAAACTATTGGAGAAACCCTTAGTCTATAGAAGGGAATAGTAGTTTAACAGTTGTAACAAAATGGCTCTCAAATTTAGTGGTTTCGTACAGCAAACACTTAATTCCTCATAGGTTTTGTGAGATCATCTGGGTGTGGGTTCCTGGGTGCTTGCTTGGTCTATTTTGAGGTTGCAGTAAAGCTGTTGCCTGGGGCTGTGGTGAGGCTGAAGTATCTGCTTCCCGGCTCTACTGTGTGACTGACTGGAAGCCTCTCCTAGGCATCTGCTTGCTTGTTTGTAGGTTTTTTACTTTGGCTTTTGAGACAGTCTCATTATGTAGTTGAGGCTGGCTTCGAACTGGGGGTGATCCTCTTAGCTCAGCCTCCAGAGTGCTGGAATGACATGTGTACCACCATGGCTGGCTACCCCAGGTATCTGCATGTCCTGTGACAGGGCATTTGGGAGAGTGCCAGAGAGCTTTGGAGGTGTAGGCCACGGTGACTTGCATGACACCTCATCACTTTGTCACTTCATTAGACGTGATTCCCTAGGTCTGGCCACAGTGAAGGGGAGAGAGTCATGTAGAACCTGGATGGCAGGAGCTGAGGATCACCAAGGGCCATGGTCAGCCTACAGAGAGGCACCTTCACATTTAAGTTCGTGTGTGCATTTTTAGCCTGGGGAATTGTCCCATGGGTTTCTAGCTTACTGTTTCCTAACTGCTCCCGTGCTTGCTTTCTGTCCCTCTCCCTTACCTGACCTCAGCTGTCTCTCGTGGTTCTCAGATTTTTCCCATCTGCAGGAAGGTGTCTCTGGAGGGGAACCCACTGCCAAAACAGTCCTATCACAAGCTCATGGCCATGGACAGCACGTGAGGCCACCCACTCTCACCCCTTCTCTGGGTTTGACACCCTATTCCAGGGCAGGAATTAATCCCCACCCTTCCTTAGCCTCTGGCATCTCCCTGAGGGCTCTCTGTGGGGGGGGGGGGCCTGCCTTGTCTGTCCATCCCTGTCTTAAGGGTGCACAGCAGTGCAGGGGGTTTCCTCTCCTCCCTCTCATGGTCCAGGATCGCTCATTTGTCTCTTCGGAACAACAACATCAACGACCATGGCGCACAGCTTCTGGGCCAGGCTTTGTCCACATTACATGGCAGCAACCGGACTCTGGTGTCCCTGAACCTGGCCTTCAACGACATTGGGGACAAGGGCGCGGGCCACCTGGCGGACGTGTGTGCCTGGGGTTTGGGGGGGGGGCTCTCTTTCTTAGCGCTCAGCTCACCGCCCACCTGCCCATCCCGCAGGGCCTTCGGCTGAATCGCTCCCTGCTCTGGTTGTCCCTGGCGCACAACCGCATCCAGGACAAGGGTGCCCTGAAGCTGGCTGAGGTGGGTTGTCCACTAGCATACAAGGAGTCGTCGTTGTCGGCCCCCACTCCCCGCTTCCCTAGGTCTGACTAAGGCTTGGCCTTGCCCCAGGTCCTGCGTCCCTTCGAGCTGACACACCCTGAGGTGGTGGAACGCCGGCGCCTCCTACTGGAGAAGGCGGCACAGGACAGGTCCCGATCGGTAAACCCAGCTGGGAATCTCCAGTCTCCTACCTCTGTGGGGTGGGCTCCAGCAGCACAGCTATCCTGTGGGGTCGTTTAAAGTACCAAATGCTAGATTCGGACCCCGGACTTGAAATCCAGCTCATTCACGCCTCAGCTTTGACCCAGGACTTAACCCCTCTGCCTTTTTGTAAATAAGAATAATTGTACCTGCCTTACAGGATTGAATGAGTTAATTCAGATTGCACTTGAAATTACAATAGTGCCAGCAAATAGATCTGTGACAGCCATTCCCATTCAATAGGAGAGTCTGTACCCTATCTCACTTCCCAGCTCATCTCTGTTTACTTCTTGGATACTCCTCAGAACAGCTCCCCAACTCAGAGGAGCCCCTGACAAATTGTTTTCACCTTCTGGGAGGGAGATGTGTTGCCCAAGCAGAGACTCCTCACCATCTCCCTTTGAAGAAGGGCTCTAGCTGCCCCTTTATCCCATTTGTGAACACAGCCAACCTCCTCTCGACAAGCGGATACCAAAACGGAACGGGAGAAGCCTCAGATTGGGGGGATCAGCAGTGTGGCACTGGTGGAAAAGATGCAGTCAATGAAAACCCTGAAGGGTCTGGCCAAGAAAAAGGAGAAGCTAGGGGTAGGTGTGCTTGGGGAGAGCTGGGAGGTCCTGGGTGGTCCAGGACCTTCAAGATGTACAGAAGGAGGGAAAGCAAGAGGTGAAATGGGCCTCAGGCCTACCTCTACCCTGGGCTTCCCTTACCTACTGTCCATGCCCTGGGAGGCAGGACTTTCACTGCTCATCTTATATTCTGTACAGGAAGTGGTTAAAAAGGAGAAGTCACCCACACAAGGAACCGCTAAGAAAGAAGACACCACAAAGCCAGGCAAGGGGAGTAAGTGCAGATACCCCTTGGCTGTCACCTTTCCTGCGTGGAGGAGGGGAAAGCAGTGCAGAGGCTCTTGGCCTAGATGTGTCCGTCAGGAGCTGGTTTTGCTCATGCCTTTCTCTGGACCTTACTTCCTTCTTACAGTGATGATGTGGAAAGCCCGGACATAGTGGCTCCCCTTCCTTCTACAGCTTGTACCCCAGACCTACATCCTAATGGCCCTGTTCTCAGGAGAGCCCATCTGCCTAGCTGGAGGGCCTTGTAGTTGTTTATGTTATAACCAAAACAAAGTTCGCAGGGTCTAATGTCCTCACCTCACCCATTCTCTCCTTGGGGAAGCTGGGTGGTATCTGAGGTCTGCATGATGCATTCTGGCTCCTTTCTGGCCACAGAGGTAACCATCCCTGAGCAGAAACCAAGCAGGGGGAAAGGGACCAAAATGGGGAGCAAAGAAAAGCGCAGCATCCTCTTGGAATCTGAGGTAAGTTGCAGGAGCAGAGGCTTCCTCAGGAGCTCTAATGCCCTGGCACCCCTGGGACGGGGCCTCCTGCCCATGGCTGTGGCAGGAGTCATTTCCTTTCGTAGTTTTCTCTCCACTCTTGTGTCTGTCATACCCCAAAGCTCCTCCATCCCAACCTGGGCTTGCTGTGGCAGCAGTGGAGCCTAGTGTTTCCCTCCACTCCTGGTTTGCAGGAGTCCAATTCTCTTTCCTTGTCCAGCTTTGCCCACACTTTAGATCTGTTGTCCCAACTGAAGCTGCTCCTCCGAAGGCCACCAGCTCCACCATTTGGTAGGGCAGCTGCACATGGAGCAAAGGGCTTTCTCTTTCACCCTCTTTCCTTTTTCCTGCTCAAGACGAACCTGCTCTGTGCTTTGAAGTCTGATGGAGGTGCCGACCTCACACTTGCAGCTCTCCAACCTGTCAGCCACAGCCACAGGGGCCTGTCTGTGTCCTTGTATTTTTGTCTTCTCTTCTGGCCCAGTCCCACTGACATCTCCTAGGTAGGGAAGGGTCCCAGTCACTTGTAGAAGTGTCTCCTGTCCCCTTAGACAAAACTCTTAAAACAGGAAGATGGGCAGAGGAAAACCACTGTGGCCTCAGCCTGTCTTGAACACTATTTTTCACTAGCTCTCTCTCACGTCCCTCCACTGTCATCTTGCCTGTTGGCTATCACTGCGCCAGTTAGCAAATACTTGTTATAAGGCAAATTCTGTATGCTGTTTCCTACCTGCAAAGCCTCTGCATCCAGCACATTCTTTGCCTGGACAGTTTCCCCTCGCCTTCCTTCACCCAAGAATCTCAATACCTTCACACTGCAACTCACAGGCACATCTTTCAGCTGTTCCCACCCCTCGCTGGGGCTAGAAGTTTCCCTGCTGCACTCCATTGCATTCCCAGCTTACCTCTTCTGGGGTCATGTCATGAGTTCCTATTTTACCCGGGCTCCCACACACTACAGAACTTCTGGAGGGCATGGGCTTATCTTTGTGCCCCAGCACCTAGGACAGATCCTGGACCCTATAGTCAGCACACAAAAACATGTATGTTGAATGAATGACTGGCCTGTTGACCAGCTCCCTTCTCCTCTGCTGCAATCAGTATTCTGCTTCAGCAGCTAGTTGCAGAAACTACAGAGATGATCAACCCTCTCCTGGAGCCAATGGAGCACCGAGATGGGAAGGTTTTCATGCCTGGGAACAAGGTCCTTTTGTACCTCAACCTCGTCCGTATGTTTGCCAGCCTACCCTTTGCAGCTCCTGTCAGAAGGATACCCACCCCAAGTCTAAGGGGGCATACCTGGTTCTCCCTTAGTTGGGCATCATGTCTGAGGCCTTTGTGCATAGGCCAGGGGGTGAGGGTAAGTGCTGGCTTAGGGAAGAGGCTGAGGACAGGAAGACAGGTTGGGGAGGGTGAAGGGAAATCAAGAAGTAGTCAAGGAGCTGGGGTGGAGGGCTGCTCAGGAAAAGGTATTCCTGGGGGGGGGGTGACTGGGGATGGGGAGCAGGAGAAGCAGGCTTCAGAGGTTGTGACAGGCCATCTCCTGCTCCCAGGAAACCGCATTACAGAGGTAGGGCTGGAGGGCTTCCTCACAGCAGTGCAGTACCAGGCACAGTTCTCCAAGCCCAAGAGTGCATCCAAGGGCCCAGTGGGGCTGCTGTGGCTGTCCCTGGCGGTGAGTCTCTCTCTCACCACAGCTACAGGTACCTCTGCCTTCCTGTTTCTGAGGCAGGCCTACTTTTTTTTTTTTTTGTGGTACTGGAAATCAAACTCAGGACCTTGTGCTTATCAGGCAAGCTTTGTGCTGCTGAACTATGTCCCCACTCTCCTTTTTTTTTTTTTTTTAAGATAACAACATAAACTGTACTCCTTTTTCCCTAAGATCAGCAGTGTTATTTACTTCATGTTGGCTAGCCCCTAATCTGTCCTACTCTAGGGTATCTGTTTTCTCATAGAAGACTGATCTTCATTGTTGTCAGCTGCTAACTTTTCCTTCTCCAGAAAAACTGCTTCGACCCACAATGTCCCATGTACATCGTGATGCAGGAGCTGATGCTGCCAAAGGATCCCATCAAGGTCAAGCTCAGGGATGAAGAGGCCCTGCCTGTCTCTACCTAGCTCCTACTACCACCTTCACTGAGGCTCTGGGCCACAGACACAGTTCCATTGTCACTGACTGTGGTGACCCCAGGGGGGTCTTGGACCAGGAACAGTCTATTGATGTACTTTTCCTTGAGGTGTTAGAAAAGTCTGTTACAGAATTATGTGTGAAACCTTTAGACTTTGACCTGTTCACAATAAATGGTCAGAAATAACAGTGTGCATCACTTTATAGTTCAGCCCATCTGGCATCAGCTGGCCCAGAGGATTGCCCCTCTGCCTCTGGAGGACTAGCTCCTGCTTATCCAGGCCCATCACTTCCTGAATTCATCAGAGAACACATACTCTGACAGGGCTTAGCTGCTGACACACACACAAGCTGTGGCAGAGGACAAGGCGGGAGGTGGTACTGAGCATGTCACCCCCACCCCTAATCTAGCCGCCCTAGGTATTTGATAGGTATGGAAAAGGCCAGGGGTCAGCACCTACATGGCAAAGACTAAGCACGGTCGATAACCTGAACCCAGATATGTGGAGTGTGTGGTAACCCCTTCATGCCCTCATCATGCACAGACCTGACTCTGAGGAGTGCACCTCCAGTAACGGGCCCTCCAGAGAAGGGGCAGGCTAGGGCCAGTTTCTCTGCCCCACCCCAAGCAGGACTTCCATAGTTGCCTGTGAGAGCCCTCATGGTCTGTGAGCCCCCAGGATCTGCTGTGGCTCTCAAATGACAAGCTGTCATTTCTCTCAATTCCCAACATAGCACATGATGCTCAGCTTACCCTGGCTTCCTGCCACCCCTGCCCATATCCTCTCAGAGTCCAAGGTCTTTACCCCACACTTCATCACTGGTGACCTGGCTGTGTCTGAGGGAGTGGGTGCTGGTCAGGCCTGGAAAACCCTGCACCTTACTCACACTCCTGCTGTTGCCGAAGGGCGGTCCCTGAGGTCCCTGGGCCTTGGTTTACTACTCATTCGTTTTGCATTTTCTATCTGAGGCTGTGTAAGTTGCCTCTTCAGAGTGCACATGAAGCTTGAGCAGAGAACATGGTAAGACCTGGTTCTAAGGCTCTGGCCTTAGGAACAACTCTGGTCAACATCTTTTAGCACTGTGGTCCCAAGAATCACACACGTACCACAACTGAAGAATATTAACTTTTCTTAAAAAAAAAAAATCTTAACCATGAAAGGAGGAAAATAAGAGTATACATTATCTTAACAGCGAAACAGTCATTTCCATATCTATATTTTATATATTATATATATTTATATATATGTATATATACACCTAGCACAGTGTGTATATTTAGTCATTGGTGGGGGCTAGTGTGAGGACATGGTGATGGCCAAAGTTGTGGTGGCCCCCAGGGATGATCCTGGGTTAATTCAGGGACTCTAGCTTCAAATCCCTTGCCCTTCTCTTGGTGTCCATCTTCAGCCCCATACCTGCTACATGAGTTTCTACAGGGGCAGGTAAGGAGGGGAGGACACAATGGTATGAGAAGTTCTCCACAGGTCCTGTCCTGATGAGCTAGGTCCTCTAAGTCCAAGGAGATGTGGCAGCTCAGCACCAGGCCACAGAGGAGGGGCCAGGAGACCTCCCCATATGGCACAGGGACAGTCTCGTCTGTCTCCTCCTTCAGGCCGTCCTTAGGTGGGTTGGATTGTTTTGAAGGGATCCGAGTGAAAGCCCTACACCTCTTCCCTTAGCAATCCCTTCTGTAATTACCTCCAACACTCAGGGACAGAAACAGAAAAGTCAAGTTATTTACAACAGCAAAGATGCACATACAATACATACATATTTATAGGAATCCAAAGTGACCAAGAGAAGAGACACCCAGCTTAGTCTGGGGTCCTGAGGAGAAGGGGAGGAAGAAAGTGCATTTACACTGAAGCCTCCTCCTTTCACCTGCACGCAGGGTGCACACAGGTTCACATGCTATGTGGGGCGGGGAGACCACTGCCAATAAGGTCAAGTAGGGGTCTTTCAGATGCAGTCAACATGCTCAGGAGATGGAGGCCCTGGAGGACTGGGCTAGAGATATGGGAAAGACACTGAGACTTGGCTTCGATCTGTGCAGATCAAGCAACACTCGGGTCTCCCCCAGACCTTGGCTGCATTCATTTCCCAACTGCCCCTTCCCCAGGGAGGCAGTCTGAGGCCTCCCTGTCTGCACCCCTGCCTCAGGCTTGTCCCTGATGGAGAAGCAGGGATGTGCAGGATTTGGTTGTCATGGTGGCTACAGTCCTGGTGACACAGGTGTATCTGTAGTGTTGTCTTCCAGAAGGGTGTCACAGCCTGTGAGAGAATGGCAGGGGTGAGGAGATAGCTATGCCTGAGGCGAAGTCTGTTGTGTGCTGTCTAGTAAGCCCTCCGACTCCAACTTCAGCATCATCCATCTGTGGTAAAGCACTTTTTCCCCTTTAGAAACCCTTACTTTCTGTGGGGTCTGAAAGAGGCTGTGTACCAAACCCTACTTCTATCAGCCCCCAAATCCCTAGGTTAGGTAGGTATCTACTTTGTCTTCCTGAATTAGGACATGGCTATGTTGGTTCTGAACATTTAATAAGAAGAAGTTGTAGATGTGAGACTAGGCTCTCTCTGGGGTGTAATCTTACAGCACAAGAAAAGCGGGTTCATCTTTAAGTTCTGGTCCCATCTTTAAGGGATCTTCTGTGGGTGTCTTTTTTTAAAAAGATAATTTTCTGGAGCTAAGGAAATTAGGTATTAGTCAAGGACAAACTAGACCCTCAGAGCCAACGCCTCTCACACTGCCTGCTAACAAACACTGCCTCCCTCATGGTGGGCATAGAGTGGAAGCTGGCTTCACTCACCGTCTTCAGGGTAGGACTCTGGCTCACAGCTGTCCTGGGGATCACAGGCCAGGGCTTCCTTGGTTGAAGGAGAGATGGAGCTGTCTGTCCATCTGGATGTGTCTGTGTGGAAATTGCCCACAGGTGTGGTGCCACCAGAGGACTCGCCACCAAACGATTTTAGTAATTCTTTGTGGGCCAGCTCCATGTCCTGGAAGAGTTGGGGGATGTTTTCTCAGGTTCTTTTATTCATAGGCCTCTGGAGCAAGGGTGCTCACACTTCCATCTATGCTGGGCCTGGGAAAGGGCTGTGATTTCAAGGTGGTTGGGTGGGCAGAGGCCAGGTCTAGAGCTCCAGTGAAGACATTTCACTCTTAGTGTATGATACTGGATGACACAATGAAGGCCTCCAGGGACCCTTGCCTACATCTCTCACCTTGAGCCTGTTAAGTTTGAGGGTGAGCTGCTCGATGGTACGGAAGATCATGCCCACGTCCCTGAGGGCTAGGCCAGAGGAAGAGTGGCTGGAGAGTCTTTGATCTCCATTGCCTGCTTGTGGCTGGGGGTGGCTTGTGGCTATTCCTGAAGGGTCGGTGCTGGAGTCCACTGGTCCTGCTGGCATGCTGACATAAAAACAGTTCCCTGTTCCCATGAGAAAAGAAAGGTATCAGAAGGCAAGCAGAGAGACACCGGGGTTCCCTCCCACACCCTCAGTGTTGCCATATACACACCAGCAGGCAGGGTGGGCCAGGGAAGCCTTCTCTGACAACAGTGGGTCTCACATGCCTACCCAACTCATCTCTCTCAAGATGGCAACTTATGATGGCTCAGGTTGGCTACATGCCAGGGAAGGTGCTTAGTAATGGAAGAGAAGGGAGGAGGGCAGGTGGCAGTGATTCATCTGGGGAATAGGGAGTGGCTCCCATCCCTTGAAGGGAAGGGAAAGAAACACTGGGCTGATTTTGGACTCTTCTGAAAAGGTGGTAGCAGCAGCCTCATCCACCCTGCCTCAGGTCAAGCTCTGCCAAAGGGTATCAATGCTGATCCCGCCTGAACTGTCATAGCAGAGGAAGGTCAGAGACCATGGAAGGAAGGGTTGGCAGATAGGTGGGCACTGAGGAATCTGGGAGGCCATGGAAGCTGGATTCTACAGTGATACTGGAGTGGTAGCTGGAGTAGAAGTGCCTGCTCAGCATGTGAGGTTAAGGACACTGAGCCCTGGGCCCTAGCTGGCTTCCTTGCCTCACCTCACAACTGGACACGGGCTGCTTAAACCTGTGCTTGGAAAGGGGCCACATAGCTTCTGACAAGTGATTTTCAAAAGCTGGAGGTTAGATTACAACACAGGGTGTCCAACCATTCTAGATAGAAGAGTGACCTGCAGTGCACCTATGTGTCAGGCAAGGTCTGATGCCCGAGGCTCACCTCTGCCCCACAGGCCCTGACTGGCTTTGGCTAAAGAAGAAGTTGATTACCCGTAGCCTTTGTTCCGCCTTCCACTTCGGGTGGCTCAGGTTCTGACTGGCCACTCTCTGGCAGTGCAGGGACAGCCTTGTTGCCTACCACCTCAGCTGCACCGACACCACCACCACCAGCGAGAGGAGAGGCCAGAAGACAAGGAAAGGGAAGGGAAGAGAGTAGGGAGGAGAGGGGCAAAGAGGTGGGGGTGGCAGAAACAAGAAAAGGGAAGAACACTGTGAGCACAAGATCACACATGGTCACCTCCTGGGAGCTGCAGAGAACTTTCCACCACTTCACCGAAAGACAGAGGGAAGAAGGTCAGTTCTAAGAAACTGAAAGTGGGTACACCTCAGGCAGACAGGCAGAAGGCAGCATGGAGCATGAGGGGGACAGGAAAATCCTGCTGCACCAATGTGGAGCCTACCAGCCTCCCACGCCAGCTTTTGTGATCTTTCCCACCACACTCCTCAGATCTGGTCTCCTTTTCAGCTCACTCTGCCTGGTGTGAGCTCCCCTTTCTCGAGCTTACTGCTCTGGCCACTCTAGTGGGGCCTGACCTCCTGGCAAGCTAGTCTTGCCATAGAGCTGTCCACAGCATTCTCCCACCTAGAACACCCTTATGGTCATCTTGTTCCCTCAGACATAGTCCCCCGCTCTCCAAGTGTCCCTCCCTTCCCTCCCTTTCTGGCCACTATTTTGTCTTGAGGGTTGGAGAAAGACCACACCTTTTCTTCAGGACTTGAAGGGTGGTAAAGAAAAGAAATTTTTATTGGTAGTTGTTTTTTGCTGGGTAGCAGTAACTGTCCTCATATACATACGACAGAATGTTCAGAGACGATCACAATTTTGTCTCAGGTCACACAGACATTAAGTAACAGAGCTAAGGCTTTGAACCTCAGCTGTTTGACTCCAAAGCCTTTACATGGTATATGTCTCCTTCCCTCGGAACCCAGTGCCAGTCTCTGCTCACCAGTTCCCAGAATAAAGATGGAGATGAAGTAGCTGTCTACAAGACTCACCTCTACCCCACCAAAAGTGGTATTTGTCTCCCTAATGGACATTCCAATATATCTTACCTTTTCTTACAACTTTATAATTTCCTGATGCTTCTGTGCTTGATGCCTCTTCAGGTGGATTCCTATCCAGCTCAGGAGATTCCCAGATCCCAGAATTTCTGGTCCTTGGGGGCAGGTGTGCCAGAGAGCGAGCCATATCCTCGTGCTGTAGCTGGCCTTCTTCTGGTTCTGGGAGCTGGGTATTGTCCTTGTGACCTCTAATGGGAGCTAGCCCTGGGGAGCCTGGGTCCCAGGGGTGAGAGGTGATGCTGACAACAGAAGGTGTAGGTGTTAGGTCATCCTCAGGCTCCGCAGTGGCCCGAGTGTCCGTGGTGTGACCTGGCAGGAGACTCCACAAGATCAGGTGCCGCAGGTTCTCCACTGGAGAGGGAAACAGGGTTATGATGGCTTCCCCAGCACAGGACTCACACTGTGCCAGGGGTGGGAGAGTTCAGAGAAGGCAGGGGTAATGTTACTCAACTAGATCTGCTGTGAAGATGGGGCAGAGCTGGAGGGCTCTGTCCAGTCAGTAGGTATCCAAATCCATCTGATCTCAAGCATGACCAGGGAGAGCCTCTAAGCAGAGGAGGCTGAAGCTCGCACTGGCCAAGTACTTACCATCTTCCAAGGCTGAATCAGCAAGGCCTTCCATGAACAGGGGACCTGGTAGAGCCAGGTTGATGAGGTCCCGTGTCCTGATGCCCCTGTTCTCTCCATTCAGGGATGTAGGAGCAAGAGGCAGGGCCTCCAGCTCCTCTTCCTCTGCACTGCCTCTCTGCTCAGGCTCCTCTGGTGGCACTGGTTGCTTCCCCTGGACTCTTTGCTGAGTTCCAGGACCTGTTTTGAGAGAGGACTGTTAGGCAGGGCAAGGGAGCACGAGAGTACTCATAGGGTGATCACATACCCAGCATGGCTCCAAGGGTCTGGGAATACTATCTGCTGAGGTCTACAGAGGCTTCCCCAGCACCTCCTGTAGCTAGCCACTGCCCAGGCCCTTGAGATGCATCAAAGATGGAAAAAACACAGATCCCTGCATGGAGGTGCGGTGCGGGGGGTGGGGGGTAGGTGGTGGGTAGGTAGGTCTCTAGGGACACAGATAAATACAGATGTGAATCATAAAAAGGGGACACAGAATGGGGATGGAAGGAGGTGCGTGAGTCAGGAGGAAAAGCACTCTAAGTAGAGTGCACAGAAGAGGGGCCCAGTCAGAGCCCAAGATTTCATTTTAGACCAGAACTTCTAACTTCCTAACATAAAAACTTTCAATGACAATCTGTTTTGAGAACGTCCCACTTTATCCCACCCTAGCAACTGTATCTGAAACCCTCTGCATCCAGAGGGTTTGAAACTGTATTTGAAACTCTTAGCAGCAACCCAGCCCAGGGCTGAAATATGCACAGGCACTGGACCCCAGAAACTGCTTCCTCTGTTCATCATTCTATAACTCTAAGAGGAAGAGGGCTCTAGTCATGTGAGCTAGTTTGTTTCTTAGTTTGTTTTCACTCTTTTAGGCTCTCTCTGCACTCTGTTTTTTCTGTTTATTTCTTCAAAACCCCATACTTTCACGTTTCAGGCCCTGATGGACTCCCTTGTCACCCTTCATCCTTACGTCCCTACCTAACCTGTGCTCACCAAAACTGGACCGTGTTCGGCTCTCACAAGACAGTTCAGGGGCCTTACCTTCAGGTAGCTCCTCAGGCTCTGCTTCACCATGGAACACTTCTGAGTCATCCAGTTCCATCCTAGGAAGAAACCCACTGCGGGTGAGAGAAGGCCACCTTGGTGGCAGTTCTGGCCCTACCGGCCAGGAGGTCAGGATGTCACAAAAGGTCAGGATGTCCAGTGTGGACTCAGCAGTTAGAGTAAGCAATGAAAAAGCAGTTTCCAAGGAGGGAGGGGTCAGGCCTCTTGGCCTGTCTGGTCAGGACAAAGGATGGGAGCAATCTCAGCCCTCATTCTGCACCCAGTTCTACTTCAGGTGCACTCTCCATTATACAGGCCAGGTGGGAGGGTGGTGGGAGGTGGGAAGAGAAGGTACAAAAGCAGCCACATTCCTCCATCTATTGGTGCTCTGGACTGTGTTTCCCAGACAGCACTTTCTTGCCAATGTTGTCCACCCCAAGGGTGAAGGGCTTAACAGGAGCAGGAAGCAGGGAGCCTGGAGTGAGGCTGGGACAGGGCCTGGAGGGCTGAACACTATACCTGCTGGGGGTTGGGCCTTGGTGAGGTGGCTCCTGGGGGCCAGGAGGCCGGGGAAGAATGGGAATGGGGGCAGTTCCGGGGTGTCTGGTGGTGTTCCGCACAGCCTCTTCTAGGAGCTCCATCCATCTGTTGCTCAGTAGGAACAGAGAGCACTGGTGGTGAGAACAAGGCCAGGTACCCACCTCGTCCCCTGTGGACCCCACTGCTTCACAGCTTTGAAGCCCTGCAGCCATGCCCCAAGGAACCTTGGCCTGGCAATCACTCACTTCCCGCACAGTTCTCGTTGGATGCCCCCTTGGGTTTATATGACTTGTAGCTACCAACTACTGGACACTAACCCTCTCTTAAGCCCTGCACTAAGCACTCTCTGTTTTCTTTTTCTAAACAGTTAAGAGGTAGCATTATCCACATCCTACAGTGGAAACTCTGAGGGTGAGAAACTGTGTGATTCAACCTGTTTCCTTCCACTGTACCATGTCAGCTCTAGTGGCTGCTGATGGGAAATTTGATGTCGGTGGGCAGTGCAGGTGGGGCAGAAGGAAGGTGCAGACTTAATATAATTGTTATAGAACCTAGTTATGGGGTGGGGGTGATGATTCCTCACAGCTTCTCTAAGCCTGTCCTGCTTCCTGCTTCCCTTCCCAGCTCCCTATGCAGTGACAGCTCTGGGACCAAGCCCTGGCCTCACTGTCCACCATCTTCATACACACCACCCAGGTCCCAAAGGGATGGCGGTTACTTGGGACCCCTCAATCAATTCTCACGTGTTCTTGTCTGATGATGTCAGTGCGACCAGCTCATAGATCTGGGGAGGGCCTAGCTCAGATGTGCAGATGGTGAAGAAGGCCCGTTTATCTGTAAGGAGACAAATGGAAAGGTCAACACAGGGTGGCGGAAGTGATGGAGCCTAGGCCTAGAGCAATTAAGGGTAGACTTGAACACCAAGGGTTATTGGGAGGAAGACTACAGACATTAAGGGCAATCAGAACCAGCTGGGACCCAGTAACAGGTGACAGTCAGCTCTGGAACCTCATGTCATCTTTCACACTGTCCCTCTTCCCTAACTGAGGGCTAATGTGTGTCTGTGTTGAGTTTACAAACCTTTCCATCCCCACTGTCCCTTCATGCTCCCTACAGGTGGGCAGGCAGCACTGGGTTACACATGAAGAGCGAGGGGGCCTTATGCCATCTTTCTTCCTGCTCACCTCTGGCTGCTTGACTTGGCTCTGTCCTGGGGCTTTCATCTTCTGTAACCACTCTGCCCAGGACACTCTTGCAGGAGGAAGGCTTGTCTTCCTCTTCTAGCCCCATCCTATTCTTCCCAACCCTGCTCATCCCATCCAGCACTGTCCTTGAGGACTGATCACACCACTCTATCTAATTCATCTTTACCTTGGACCTCATCCTATCCCACATCTATTTGGACCACATTCTCCAGCTAGGCTGGGTCATGGAAAGAAACACAGGCAGACAGGTAGGTCCTGTAAAACCCCAGGCTGGACCTGCATCATCCAGTGCTCACTGGACACAAGTCACAGTGATCATGGCCCAGAGCCCAGGCTGTCGGACATTTGTAGGTACCTGTGGCCACAGAGCGGATGAGCACGGCATTGAGCTTGAGCACGGGGCTGAATGTCTGCTTGCTGTCCGCGGAGCCCACAGCTGTCTTGCTATGGCATTTCAGCAGCAGCCGCTCGTCCTGTCTCTGCAGCAACACTAGCAGGTCCTCCAGCAGCAGCACGTGGAGGTCTGGGGGTTTCGAAGCATACCCTGATGCACACTTATCCTTCATCAGCACAAGGGGACCTTGGGGCTCTTGAATGTCTGTCATCAGGGTCTCGGTGACCCTGGGAGTCTGGGGACTCCATGTCCTTTCTCCATGGTTATTCTTTTTGCATGCTATGCTTAATGACCCCTGGGTCAACATCCCAGTCTTGTTCTAAGTGCCCAGCAGCTACCTCAACATCCCATTAGAGCCAACACTTTCCAGGGTTTATGCAACAAAGACAAGACTCTCAGAGGCTACCTACCATGGATGCCCTGGTGTGCCTGCCCCCTGGCACATACCCAAAGTCTTATCCTTGCTGATCCTCCAGGTCAGAGGCCCCTCATGGATCATCTTCCTGGTTGTAAGATCCAGGCTCTGTTAAGGAGATATCATCACTTATTCACTCAACAAGTCTTTGAGAACCTACTGGGTGTGTACACTGTGCCAAGGCCCTGGGAATCACTGGAGAAGAGGAAACAGTCTCTTCCCTTATAGGACACAGTAAAGTAAAAAGGCAACTATGAAGCATGTGCTATACAACGGCTATAGCTTGGGTCTCCCTCCTGCTACTACCATATGCCATTTATCATCCCAAGAGACACTCTCCTTCTCCTGCCCTCCTTTCTTTCATTTCTACTCCCATCCACATGATCTCCCACTTTGTCTTAAATCCTACCCCATGCTCTGCTAACATTCGTCTGGTCTTGGTGAGGTGTTTGCCCCATCCATCTAGGATAGTGACAGGGATATGTCTCCCACAGCTCTACTGTGTCACCCTGTCACAGCTGCTTCCTGTTTCCTTCCCTTAAAACTCTCTAGGCCCTGACTAGTTTTGCCCTGAGGGTGCCTAAGAAGTTTGTGTGAGAGGGTGACTTTGTTGCACTGACCTTGAATTCTGCTGCCAGGGGGTTGCTGGCCCTCTCCAGGGCAGTGGTGTCCAGGCGTTTCTGGTAACTTTCTAGCCGGTGCCGGTTCTCAGTCTGCTTCACTGCTTCATTCACGAACTTGAGAATCTCCCGGCACTGGTCTCGGGCCCGGCACAGCTTCTCATGTTCTGAAGTGCCAGCTAACAGACAGAGGTAGTGATTAGGGACTCCCCTCTGCCTGAGATGTGCTTCATATATCTTACTGCCTCCTCACAGCCGTGCTAACTGCTTGTCTCAAACCAGCACTTAGGTGTGGAGGTAAGCCAGCCTTAGCCTTGAGGTAAAGGCTACCTCAAGTAGCAGAGCTACCTTTTACCAAGCATCCCTAGATTTTAAACACTGCCAATTTTAAGAATTCCTGCCTGGACCACAACCAGACCTGTGGTTGCTAACTATGAGGAAAAAACCTGTTTAAGCCAGGCTGAGGTTCTCCACACCTCTCTATCCTGTCTCCACTGTGCAAAATTCAAGGGAGTAAGGGATGCTTAGGACCTCTGGAACGTGACAGCCTGGGGTCAGATCTTCTTTTTAGCTTGTCCTTTGTTCTTCAGTGTTACCACATGCAGCTGTCTTTGCGCACTGCACAGAGCATCCAGCAGAGGCACAAACTGGGGCTCAACCTAGCATGGCTACTGGTGTGGGACCCTAATCAGGATGGTTGGGAAGAACCAAGGGCTATGATTTGTACAAAGGCTACTCAGGACAGTGGTAGCTCTCACTCTCTCAACTGCTGAGCAGCTTGTATTTTCCAAAGTATATTTATGAATATTTGCTTTGAGACACACCTAACAAGGAAGAGGGCACTGAAGACTACAAAGGTCTTGTGCCTGCTAAAGTCACACGGTGGTGCTAGGCACAGGTCTGTACCCCAGCCCTCCCATGCCTACCCTGGGTGTGTTTGATGATGTTTTCCAGCAGCAGTGGGTACTTGGTAAGCCGTTGCATCTCAGAGATGATGAGGTCTCGGAGCTGCAGCCGCCGGCACTGAGGGTGGCTCTCAGCCTCCTGGACACAAGATGGTTTCAACTGTGGCTAGGAGCTGGCTAAATGCCAAATAGGTCCTGACACCAGATGGGTCACTCTAAAATGGTGGCAGCAGGATAATGCTGACCCAAAGAAGTGATACGGTTCAAAGATATTGGAAGGTCACATCCTTATTTTACAGATGGGGAACCAAGACACAGCTGCGTGCCTACTGGTTCTGGTAGGTGAGCCAGGACCTCTGGCTGTTAATCTAGTGTTTGTTTCAACCAAGGTGGTCTAGCTCTAGAGGGTGCCATGTGTCACAACACTGGAGGGGGAGGGGCAGGTGGGACGAGGGTGCTGCTGTCCTCCAGAGCCAGAGGAGAGGATGGGGACTGGAAAAAAACCCAGGAGATTGTTGGTAAACTTGCTGAGGAGGAAGGGGGCTGAGGCACAGCTCAACACACACCTGCATAAAAAGCTGAAATCGGCTTTCCTTTCGTTGCTTGGTCTTGATCAGCTCTAGGGCTATTGACTGATAGGAACAGAACTGTGCAGCCACTTGCTGGAGTTCCTCTCGGGCAGGGCCATCAAACTGAAGAGGCAGAACAGACATGGCCCAGACATAACAGTCCCCACTGGGATCCAGCCCTTGCTCATACCCACCCCTGCTAAATTCCCTGGCCTTGGTAACTGGCCCTCATCTCCTCCAATCTCCACCTTGCTATGTGCCGGAAGTCTGGAACCATACCCGAGCCAGCATGAGGTCACTGATATCTTTGATGATGGGGCCCTCCTCCCGGAGTTTTTTCATGGCTTCACACCAAGAATCTGGGGTGAAGAGAGAAGAAATAGAAATGCCTCAGGTTGATCCAGTGTTAGACATTTTGTGACTGGAAAAAAAGGACCTTTGACAGAAGTGCCAAGGTGAATGGTCTGGAAACCACTTTACTTGGGGGTATCTGGAGGGTTCCTATCAAGTTGTCATTAACCTTCCTCCCACAGGCACCAGTGCGGGTTATTTGGTCAGAAGGCAGGGCAGGGGAACATGCTGGAATGGAAAGCAGCAGGTAGGCAGAGCTGGGAGGAACTGGGGCTACTTACTGTGAATCTCTATGAGTTCAGGCAGGTTAGGGAATAGCCGGGCCAGCTCCTCCCGGGGCATCAGGTTCTCCTTCTTCATTCGCTGGTAAAAGATGAGGTCCAGGACCCGAAGTGTGCGCAAGTGGGATGCCTCAGTCACAAACAGTTCTGAGAGGTGGTCGTGACAAGATGTAGACAGACAGAAAACAGATCATCAAGTGTTTGGGAGTCACAAGCTGGTTCTCATACTATTCTACTTTTAGGGGAGGTGGAGTGCTGGTTTCAGATCACACAGTCACTTTTACCTGGGCATTGTCCCATTTCCCTCCTGCTCTGTGCGCTGGATCTACTCCCACAGAAGTACAAGCAAGGATGGGGAGGGGAGCATGTTCTCACCGTTGATGACCTCTTGCCGGTCAATCTCTCTCTGGTTCAGCCCGGCCACCACGTCCTTGCCCACGGTGTGTTGCCAGTTTTGAGCATCTGGCTCTGGTTCCAAGTCAGAGAGTTGGCCCAGATCATCTTCTAGGAGGTGGGGTAGGAGGGCATCTGTGCAGAAGCCCAGGCTGGGGGATTCAATGCTCCTGGGGGTAGACAGGCAGTTTAGCTTCGCTCCAAATTATGTTGGCCTCTCCCTCTCCTGCTCAACCCAAGTCAATGAAAAGGAAACACAGAGAGCATCACTGTGCTTACCACTTACCTGCGGCCCATTTTAGGGGTGAAGGGAGGGGTTGGGTTCTCAAGAGACCTGTTGAGGGAATGTTGATTCTCAGTAAACTTGTGTCCCAGCCCTGGAGAGCAATGGGTGCAGCTGCCCAAATTCACCCACCTGGTGGAGAGGCTGGAGGCAGAGGATGAGGCCGACTGGTGGAGGCGCGTGGCCTCAGCAGCAGCATCCATGTCAACATCACTTCGAGAGCGGGGCACATTCTCCACCTTCCGAGACCGTTTCATCTCTTCCCGGCCTTTGAGGCTCTCAGAGCGGCCCAGGCGAATCTCTGAGCGTGAACTGGGGAAAGGCACATGGAAGTCTTGGTCAGACTCTTAACTGCTGCTCCATCTGAAGGATGCCTCAATAGTATAGCCTCAAGGGGTGAGCCGTGCACCCCTTGCATGGCTCAAACACCTGGGTGCAGAAATAACTCAGTGACAAACCATTCTTGCTGCTCTCTAAACTCCCCCTCTTCTCAGCAAGCTTGATGGGATAAGTCTCTCCTCCTTATTCTGACTTGTGAGGAAGGAGTCTAACAGGAAGATGGAACTTATGTGTGTCGGGATGTCTAGGACCCTATGTTTCTTTCAGGAAAGTTGTAACATCACAGTCCCTTATCAGGGACCACAGTCTCATGTCCCCGTCCCTAGGGCTATATGGTGGCAGTCAATTCTACTTTTGGTGAGTCCATCTCCACATACTAATTGTAGGATTTTCCATATTGCCTGTTAGAAAATGCTAACTGTTGTTAGATTCTGGCCCACTTGTGAAGATTTTTCCCATTATTATCCTAACAGCACCCTTCCTACGCTTCTGTTTCTTTTCCAGGGAGCAGACAGGCTGAGGAATTCAAGAGGCCTGGTTAAGAGAGGCAGGAACCCATCCCTGCCTGCTGTGCTTGGATACTGAATGTATCTGGGGCTTGAAGAGATGCTGTCAACTGGGTGTAGCTCTCTGTCCTGTAGTGTATCAGTCCCGAGCTGGCATCTTTGACCTCTAGTTGCCCCTGGATGTTCCCACCATCCCCCTGCTGTGGCCCTGCTGAGCTGCTGCTTGGATGATATTATTATTAATCTACATCCTGTTCTGTTTCTGGGACCACAGAAGGTCTGGAGATTCTGGAGAGCCCTTAATAGCACAGCAGTATCCTGCAAGAAGGAGGCCAAGTGCCTTAATCTCCATTCATCCTGTCTCTCCAAACTGGCAGAGAATTCAAACTGGAGCTTGTTTCCTGGGGACTGAGATTATCTGCAGGATTAGAAAACATACTGTCAAGTGATCCCTTACTGAACTCATCCTTTAGCAATCTGATAAAACAATTCTAACCCAGATCAACTCAAAATATTTTTCACTAGTACCCTTAGAGGGTCATGTCAGCACCACAAACATTACTTGGAGAGTTCCTAGGGCTGCAGAGGTGGAAGTGAGTAACACTCAACAAGAAATATGGCAGAGTCTATCTCTGGACTAAGTTCTGATAGTACCATGTTACAGAACTCAGGTGTGTTAAACTTGCTGAGTGCTGCAACAACTTTGAGCCACCTTGCTGCTAATACTTTCTCCTGGGATTGTCAAAGAGTTTCTAATTATCAAATCTAAATGTTTCTGCTGAGAATAGCATTAGGATCTGGGAAACCTAGCTAAATAGTGCATATTTACCTGGCCAAGGCAAGAATGCAAATCTGTAAAAGGTTTCAAAGTGTTCACAAGGTCTTGTAATCTTAAAAATACCTGATACATCTAAATGATCATGACTATCACAGCATTTGTGTCTTTACCCACTGATCTTAGAACTCAACTTCTTTCCATAGTACAAATCTAATCTTTACAGTTCCCAAATTGTTGTCATTTCTTATGCCACAATCTTAACAAACACTAAGTTTATAAAGGCTTCATAAAATAGAAAGAGCCCTATACTCCAGAAGGAATGTCTGACTTATAATCTTATAGTTATTTTATTTTATTTTTTTACGGATGTACAGCCTTTTGATCTTATAGTTATTTTAAAGGTATGTGAATATTCACACTGTTACCTAGTGATTTGCCTCTGTGCCTGCCTCAATTGCAGTTCAGTAGAATTATTTTCTTGTACATGTGACTACAGTACTGTAGTACCTCAAGGATGCCTTCAGGAATCTGTACACTTTTTTTTTTTTTTGGTACTGGGGGCCTGAACTCATGACCTTGCATTTGCCAGGCAGGTGCTTGTGTCACTGAGCTAAAGCTTCGGCCCTACACAGCTATTTTTGATTATAAGTGATCTTTACTTTAAGGGCTGGCTTTTGGGACACCAGGATCGTTGTCAAGTCACATTCAAGAGTAAAAGCACTTGACAAGAATTCTAGCTAGAACCTGGTAGACATGCAGAAAATGAGCCTCAATTCCTTTTTACTTTTCTTTTTTGCCCCTTTTTTCTTGAATAGGGAAGAGCAGTATATTTTGACTCAATCAACTCTGCATCCCTTTGCTAACATGGACACCTGATGCACAGTGACATTGTGTCCTTAAAAAGGCTAGCAGAACCTCTTCTCTAGCTTTTCTTCACAGTTGGGCAAAGATGTTCTTTTTTGTTCTGATCAATTGGAGTTTTCTGGTAATCTGCTGCATAATATAATCTAGTTTAGTCTTGGGAGAAAAGTCAGGGGGTGAGCCTGAAGGAAAATTTTAAAGCAGGCAGTTCCTGGTAGGGTTTTGCTTGCTTTTCTACCAACATTTGGTGTGTCTTCTGAGGCTCTCTGGGGCAGAGAGAAAGTCCTATAGTAGGACCTTAAGAGTCCAGTGGGGAGGGGCTAGGGAGCTGGAATAAAACTTCAGCGCCAAACACTATTTGTGGGCAGCTGGCAAATTCATCCAGCCACTGCTACCTGTCACTCTCCAGCAGGTCCTCAGGAAAGCTTCCAGTGGAGAGTCGCTGTGTCCCCGGTTCTGGGGCATCATACTGCTGGCTGTTCTCAAAGTGCTGAATGATGTTCCTTACATTGCCCGGCTTGACTGAAGGCAAAAAGAAAATGAGTAACACTATGCTTTCAGTTCTAGGATGACTTCTCAGGGCATTCACTCCCCACTAGCCCAGAAGACAGCAATGAGCAAGCATGGATGAGAACAGCATGGGCCCAGAGGCAGGAGACATGTTTTTGGTTCTGGTTCTTCTATGACTCACAGATTGACCCCAGGCAGTTCTTGTATATTTCTGAGCCTACTCTTTTCTCCCATGCAAAATGAGAGGGGTTGAAGCACATTTTCTATGAAGTCCTCTTTTGGCTCTCACTCTTCATTATATTACTCTGCTTAAAAATCATAACTGAATTTTTCTTAAGAGCCACATGACAGGCAAAAACCCCTCCCAAAACAAAAAAACCTCAGGAAGACAAAAAACATCCACACAGAACTTGCCAAATCCTATCAGGCATTTTTCAAACTTACATTACTTTTAGAGTTCATTATTTCTGTTTTTCTCTTTTTTTCCTGCCCCTACTTGAGACCCATTAATAAAGAATCAGATCCTTTATCTGAGAGGTAACCCAGGAGAAACAAAAGAGAGACACTCTGGCATTCAAACTCCAACTACTCAGATAAGCTAAGATAGAAAAGGATCTTGTTGAAGGAAATACAGAGGACATGGCACACAGAGCAGATCCTGCAGAAAACTTAGGCCTGAGCATAGCAGCTGGCTCATTTTAAGTCAAAGCTTGGCTCCAAATCCAGTGAGACTGCAGCAGGGCTTGAGCTATAAATGCCACTGTGCCTGAGAACAGTGGCGTGGGTTTGAGTTAGTATAAGCAATTTGGGGGTTTAGGCCTTATTGTAACCACCCTAACCCTCTTCAGATATCCACATATACATATCCACATATACAGACTTGCAAGCTTTCCTGTTTCAAAATTTGACTTTCATAGGCAGGGGCCAGGACAGCACTTTTCTCAACTACATAAATGGCTTTGTATGTGCCTGAGGAACAGGGACTGTCCTATTATTTGAAGGTCAGGACCAGACCTATTGGTCCCAGACTCAACATGGATTGGGCAACGGGACCACTGCAGACACCAAGCAACCCTGAGCCACTCTGGCTGGGGGATGATGTGGAAACTCGGGAATACCCTTTAACAAAAGTTACTGGGCTGAGTCACTGTCCCCTGTCCCACAGGCCAATTGTGTTCAGGATCAAGTTATACAATAGCTATCACACTGGAATAACTGAGGAACTTAAGAGTAACAAGGCAGAAAAAAACCCACATTTTTAAAAGGACAAAGTTTCAGTAGTAGCTTTTGCTTCCCTTCTTCCAGTCCCTGAATGATAATGAACTAAATAAAAGTGAATTAGGTTTTACTAGCATATCAGACAAAAAAGGTATCATGATAGGTGATTATCTTGAAAGCTGAAACACGATATTGAGGCTTTCTAGCATTGATATGTGCCTGATCTCTAGATATGAATACATATTTTTAAAAATTGATTTTTTGGAGGTAGTACTGGGAATCGACTTAGGATGTCATACTTGGTACCACTGGGCTAAATCCTTGGCCCATGAATATGTATTTATTTGATGCCCTGGGAATTTGCAATCTTAAACCAAATCAGGTAATCACAATGACATGGTTGGACTCAGATACTTGGTACTCTTATCCTGACACTGGAGTCAGCTACCTAACTTTGCTCTGCATTCCTGTTCCCTCAAGTTGACAAAGTGCAAGCTCTTGGTAGAACTGCTTGGCTTCTGTGCTTTGCTGTAGTATCAGACCTTCCGTGGCAAGGCTGATGAGAAATTCTTCTGGACAACCCTGGGCCTGGGGCAGGGGCACAGCTAAATGGCAGAATGCTTGCCTACCATTCCCCAGACCCTGGGTTAGAAATATGAGCCTGGATTTCAAAGCCATTCTTTTTTCCTGCTGTTGTATAAGACAATTTTGTTGTGAAACTGGAAACTGAGTCCAGGGCCTCACACTAAGCTACCTTTCCAACACTGTTTTCGTTTTGCTATGCCACCTAATCTGGTTAACTTTCAATACTGTCTCAGCTTAAGTAACTGGAATTATATTCATGTGCCACCATACTGGGTTAAAACCAATAATCATTTTTATTGCTTTATAACTTAATTACTCAGCAGGCTGAGGTAGGAGGCTTGCAAGTCTGAGGCTAGCTGGGCAACTTCGCAAAACTATTTCAAGATAAAAAACAAAAGTGGAAACAGTCTCAAAATAAAAAACAGAAGTGAAAAGACTTAGGTATAGTGGCACATGCCAGTAATCACAGTACTCTGGGAAGCTGAAGCAGGAAGACTACAAATTTCAAACCCAGCTTGGACAATTTAGCAAGATCCTATTTTGAAAGGAAAGCAAAACAAAACAAAACAAGATGACAGAGGGGAACATGAATATAGGAACTTAATAGCTTTATAACAGTAATTTTGAAGATAGTATTTTAAATTGTCACTTTAGCACAAAATGAATTCTAGCTACAGAATAATTCTTGACTGTTCACTGTTCTAATTAGTGCAAACCTAAAAAAATATTGGGGGCTGGAGATTTAGCTCAGTGGCATAAATGCCTGCCTTGCAAGCAGGCAGTTGTGAGTTCGATCCCCGGTACCGATAAAAAGGAAAAAGACAAAAAAAAAAAAAATTTAATTGCAACACATGGACCTCACTAACAGGAATGAATTTGCCCAATTCTTTTGATGTTTTGATCTAGGTTCTAAACTCCTTATAAGTTAGTGCATACTATTATTTGTATTATTATTTGTTTTGGTAGTAGGGAGAGAGAATCCAGGGGCTATTTTTTTTTTTCTCTTCTTCTTTTTTTTTTTTTTTGTGTGTGTCTTTTTCATTTCATTTTTATCGGTACCAAGGATCGAACTCACGACTGCCTGCTTGCAAGGCAGGTGCTTATGCCGCTGAGCTAAATCCCCAGCCCCCCCCCCTTTTCCCCAGGGGCTATTTATGCTTAGCATGGGTTCTACTACTGAGCACCCTTAGCTCTGTCGCTACTTTTTTTTTTTTTTAGTATGCAGATTCTAGATGTTAGGCCTTCTAAAATACAGTTAAGGTTGTTGTGTTTTAACTGTTTTCATTACATAGTGATGGCAGTTAAGAGCCAAAGAAGAGGGGTATGGTGGTGTATGCCTGTAATGCCAGCACTTGGAAGACTCACGCAGGAGGATTGCTGCGAGTTTGAGGCCAGTTTGGGAGCTACATAGTGAGTTCAAGGCCAGCCTAAATTATAGAGCTTTAAAAAAAAAAATTATAGAGCCTTGTTTCAAAAAACCAAAACAGACCCCTCTGCCCCTCACCAAAAAGAGCCAAAGGGATGGATGTACTCCACTGAAGGATTTAAACAAAGTAGATGACATAAGTAAAAGAAAAACTATGAGAGACTCAAAATTTACTGAAAAAACAAAACAAAAAACCCTAAATCTTCCCAAAAGCTGGATCCTTAAAAAGAAAAAAACAAAAACAAAAAAAACAAACAAAAAAAAACAAGGACTTTTATTATTTCAGTTGACAACAAAAATTGGAGGCATTCTTGCTTCTGTTTCATTGCAGGACACCATAGTTTTGAGGATTTCCCTCATTTATACAGAGCCCTGGGCTTTTGGAACCTCATCCATGGAAAGGTGACAGACTCAGGAAAAAGGTCCCAGTCTTTCTTCTGGGGAAAGCTGCTGAAGGACCTAGAAGGCTGACTTTGGCCAGAACCATATGAAGCTCTACCCCATGAGAACCCAGGGCAGCAGGCAAGGCTTCCCACCAGCATAAAGTCAGGAGTCCAGGGACTGTGTCACAGGGGTTGAGCAACAATGAGGGAGACAGAAGAGAAATGGAGAGGAGAAAGGGGGAAGAAAGGGAGATAGACTAGGCAATGAGACAGAAAAGGCAAGATAAGGTATGGGAGATGGAAACATGATGCTAATGCAAAGATAAATCCAAATAAAATAGTCCTTTTACCTTCCACAGGGGACAAGGGAATATGAAATGCTAAAAGAAAAACAAAGAAAAACAAAAGTAAACCATGAAATGTCTAATTGATGTTTCAAGAAACAAAATAAAAATTACATCAAACTGGAAAATGAAAAGGTAATGACAAAACTCAAGGCAAACCCAAGACAGTCTCTTCTTTACCCTCCCCAAATGTAGCCATTTCAGAAAGGGCATCAGACCCACCCTATTGTGACTCACAGATTCCCTGAAATTTGAGACTTACGGTACCAATGGTGAGGGCCAGTGACAATGTCTACATATACGACATGTAGCCGGGAAGAAGTCAGTGATAATCAACTGAATTTCGGGTTGATAGCTTAAAGAAAACTCTGAGTCCCAAACTTGCCCTCTACTCACCTAGTTCTTCTTCTTTTTTTTTTGAGACAGGGTCTCACTGCGTAGTTCAGGCTAGATTTGAACTAACCATGTAGCCCATGCTAACCTTCAACTCAGGGTGATCTTCCTGCCTACTTAAGCCTACTTAAGTCACTCGAAATCCCTACGTTCTAAAACACAGGAGTGCAGGTGAAGCCCACAGATGAAGGTGAGAGACAGGGCACATCAGACCATCTTTACCCAGGTAAAAATACTCTTTTATATCACGGCTGTTTGGTGGCTACAACTGGCTCTGAGTTCCAAGACCCACAGGAAGGCCTGGCCTCCTGGGCTCTGAAATATCCCCTTCAGCTCAAACAGCCTGCGGAAGAGGCAGCTTGGGGAGTAGTAGTAGTGCAGAGAAGCGGCATCTTACTGAGGCTTGGACTTGTGGCTCCCAGAAATACAGGAAGCCCTGGACCAATATACTGTAAGTGATGGGCTGTAAGGACTTTGCCCAAGGAATGTCTGAGGCTGTTATTCCCAAATACTCACTGCTCTGAGAGGAGCTTTTGGGCTTCCCAATGTATTTGAGGATGGGGTTTCGCTTCTTGTCCTCCAAGGCATCCTTTTCTTTCTTGGAATTGCTACTCTGCTGAGACAGGAGACATTGGGGTTTGGAGGAGGTTTTGATCCCCAGACACAGCTGCTCATCACTCTGCCCATGCACCAAGACTGGCCCTAAAGGAGTAACTGGAAAGGTGACTCATGCTTGTACCCTAATGAGCACGGTCACTTCTGGCCAGGCTTAGGGGCTATAGAAGTCTGTTCTAATTTGGGGATTCTCTCTGATTCCACATTCCAAGGTCGACAGGTGGAGCTAGAGAGCTATTAAATGGTTCTCCTGGTCTACTTCAATGCAGAGAACTGCTCCAAGAGAAGTTATGCTTCAGGGGAGCTATGTTACCTTCTTAGTTTTAGGGAAGAAGGGTAGCCACTTGTCCTTGTCAGCAGACTGGGCCTTTTCAGCTGTATTGGAGGGTCGTGCTTCCCGAAGACGGATTCCAGTATGGCTCATGTAGGTATTGAGGGCAAAGTCCATGGGGGCACTGCAAGAAAGAATAGCATTATTAACAAGAAAGAGTGTTGCATTGTTTGCCAGAGAGAAGGGCTAAATACTGCTCCAAACAATCCCTTTGCAGCCATCTTGGAAAATGGCATGACTAGGTTGCTAAGGGTCCAAGTATTCAAAGGGAAGTCTGGAATAATCAAATGGGAGAGCAGGCAGACACTAGCAAAAAGTTTTGGCTGGCACATCTCCTATGAAAAATCTTATTTCTTCTTTAAGCAGAAAGTTATCAGTGAGGGGATGTTGGTCACTTCCTCAAATGTAAGGTTAAGCCATGGCAGCCATGGCAGCCATGGGACTGGTAGAAGCCCACAGCTAACATGTTCAGCATACAGGTAGTGGTTCAGTGGGGGAAAGGAGGAATGCCAACCATCTTCAGACAAGGCACACTGCTTTTACTGCCTCCTGATCCCTAGGAATATGTAGAAGACAGAATAAATTATTAAGGAGCTTCCAATTGCCACAAATGATATTATACAGAGCTTTGTGCTTAAAAATTTGGCCTGCAGTTCTACAGAAAAGATTATCCACTTTGTGGAGACAATGCAGCAAACCTTTAAAAGCCTTGGCTTTATTGCTCTCTTAAACATACTTAACCCCATCTTCTCTCTATGAGTTCTCTATTATGAGAGAATGGAGACTCATTTTATCATCAGCTAATGAGAAAAAAATGAGGTTAAGTATACAGAATACAAACCTCCCACCCCCAAACCAAACCAAACCAAACCAAAACAAAACAAAACCTTTGTGCTAAGAGTAAATGTATTATACTCAGCTCCCTTGTACTAGTGGTGGCAACACAGGCTGACTCCAACCATCACCATCACTTTTGGAAATGGCTTAACAGAAAGAAGTGGAGAGGGTGACACAGAACTCCCTTGAGTAGAGAAGTAGAAGCAGGCCTGGAAATATGAGTTATGAGGGCAACCTGGTGCTTTCACAGTGAGGAGCAGACCTACATCCCCAATGGTCACTGACCATGCAGGGGGCCTGCATCTCACCAGCCTTGTGTGTTCTTTTGCTTATGTCACTTGGAAACTACCTGTGCACACCCACTCACTTGTGGGTGGCAGCAAAGGAAAGCACAGAAGCTCAGTCTCACTCCTTTCATCATAAATACTGCAAGGAACCACCATGAGCTCACTTACCTCCTGTCTTCCTCATACTTGGATCTGGAATAAAACAAAGAACAGATGACTGAGATTTCAAGATAGGCTGGGTATCTGGGAAAAGGCTGGGAGGAATGTGGGTGGGGAGAGTGGGACGAGTATAATAGGTCAGGTTTAGATTCTTGGTCACAACTCTGGAGCCAGTTTGGGGCTCAAAATGTGAGAGGTCTTATTCTCTCAAGGCACTTGGCTAACAGAGTGAGGGTAATGATGATGACACTCTTCTAGCTAAAATGGAGGGGGATGTGGGAAAAATCTCTTGCTTGCTGTTTCAGTGTGTGAAGCTATTATGCAGGAACAGGCTGCTTTCTGTATCCTTCTAGGACTGAGTTAGAAGGGTTGTGTTGACACCAAAGCATGGGGGAAAAATGAGAGCCTCGACTCAAAGGAATCTATCTTAAAGAGGCAAACAGAAACAGCAACTGACGTCCTATAGGACAAGAATTATTCTAAGCTATTTCACATGCATTAATCCATCTCAAAATAATGACAAGAGGGTATTATATCCCCACTTAGTGAGACCAAAACTTCACTGTTTTGAATGGGATCCACTGTAAGTGTGACGCCTATGCTATTAATGGTCATTCCTTATAATTCTGGTGCCTATGGTCTCAAAGAAAGCAGGCTGTCAGATCTGGGTTCCATTCCTGGAGTGGCTGGCGTGATAAATGTTATCTGACCACTTACGGAAACTAAAGCTTCAGAGCCTGACTGAAGATCAGAGGGCTGAGTTTTTAAAACTCATGCACCTTGTGGTTTCATCTCTATACCAGATTTCTTATCAAATGGCAGATTCCTATATGTAGCAACTCCCTCTAATTTCCAGTTTGATGCCCTAAAGAGACCTAAAATTTAACACATTCGTATCTGAGCTTTATTTTTTACAAGACGTAACCATCTGTGTCTTGGTTGATCTAAGTGACCTCCCTTGGTGTCTGCCATCATGCTGCACACAGCGCTCTCCCATGGCTTTCTACTGAGTGAATGTTCCTGGCCCTCTACAGCCTACTTTACTTTCCTCTTCTCCCAGTGCTCATTATTTGTAACATACCACACAATTTACTTACTTATTACATCTACCACAGTGGTCTCCACAAAGGAAAGAACTGCTTTGTTTTCTGGCACACTCGGGAATGTCCCATGCACAAGTGTTTGGAACAGAGTGGGAATGCTACTGATACTTGTCAAGCTGTCAGCTGAGACTGTCACGATCATCTAGGTCAGTAATGGTGAACCTTTCAGGACTTTCAATGATACAAACATCCCACTGCAGCATGCACGCCATTGGTTTGCCACCACCGATGTAAGTCAATTTCTATTATTTTGCAGATGAGGACTAGAGAGATGGATGGGCTCGATCAAGGTAATGTAACTATGCAATAAGAAGCAGTACTGAGATGTAGAACTACTTCACAGCCTGCAAAGTCCTCAGGAAATCTGTGCTGGGATTTGAGTCACATGACACTTCACAAAACAGGACTAGAGAATGTAGCACATGCAGCTCTGTCAACAGCCCCAGAAGGTTAGTATGGATTATTCCCTTTCAGCCAGTGCTAGCTGCCTCCCCAAAAGAGGCTTATTTACTGAAGCCTGGGCACACTGGTCTCTCAGCTTCAGATACAATCTTAGAGGTAAGAGGGAGGAAGGTCAAGAGGGCTAGAAGGGTCATAGTGTTGCAGGAGTCATGGCTTGTCAAAATTATCAAATGTAAGGAGCTTCAGGCCCTGCAACCCTTTCAATGGTGGCTCTTAGCCTAGAAAATGCAGCAGGAGGGCTTGGCTCTCCCCCAACTCAGCAATGGAGAATAAAGTAAGAAATGGAAGCAAAGAAGGGGGTAAAAACAGACCCATGAGACTGGTCTACCTGTTTAGCACATACAGAGTTTGGGAGTGGAATTGGGACTCACAAGATTTCTCCGAGGGCGGCCAGCTGTTTCTCAGCCACTTGGCGCTCCCGCTGAGGGTCCCCATCCAGATCTAGTAGGTCATTTTCACCATACAGGCTTCCCAGTCCCAGAGTACGCTTTGTTCTACACCAATGATACATATAGTAGGACAAATATAATCACTCCACACACACACTGAGGCAAACATATACATCACAGAAGCAGTGAGAGAGAGGATAGTGGGGTGGGAGCAGGGCACACCTATAATCATGGATTTGCTCTTGGAGCTCTGGCATGGCTGCCTCCTGAGCTTCACAGAGAACACTGCGAGCATCCTCGCCATTCCGCAAGCGCACATCTGTAGAGGGAACCCAGGAAGGCAGAATTAATGGGGTGCAGGGTGGGGTGTGGGTCACTTTTGCTAAGCAGCTCAGGGGTTTCAGCTCTCTGTGTTACTGGGAATAGAGATTGGTTTTCTGCCTCATTAGAATAAAGGAAGTAGAGGCCTATCGTCCATTTAGGTTGTTTCTGAACTCAAAACTAGAATCCTGATGCTCCAGGCCCAAGTCAAGGACAGAAATATTTTCTGAGTAAGTGTTCTATACTCCATTATGAGAAGAAATGTCAAAGGACCCCTGACTAGATGTGTCTAAATGCTGTCCTCTGCCATCAATGTGTAGATCTCAGGAGCTCATTCCTGGCTACTGACCCAGGGGTAGCTCACAAGGCTAAAAGGGGCAAGTACAGAACGTGGTATGAAACAAAGACATACCTTCCTTTCCTGACCCAGTGTCTGGGTCCACACAGGCTAGACTAAATCCCTGGGAGCAGTTGGCTCACTCTCAATTTTTGAACAAGCTCTGTTTACCTTATCATCTGAGCCAATAAGCTCTCCTCCCTGTCATCTGGGCCACAAATCGCCTCTTTCCAAACGCAGCTTGAAACTTCTAGCCTCTAAAAAGCTTCTAGCTTTGGAGGCTGCCATCCTTGTTATGCTGGCTCTCCTCAATTCTTCCGGATTTAGAAGAAGCTATGTATTCACCCAGTCTGCTGGGTCTTCACTCTAGACTAGCCGCTGAGGGTATTCATTAGTGAACAAAAACAACAAAAATCCAAAGCATCCCCAAATCAAATCAAATCGATACCCACCTCCAAAAAAAAACCGCACGCAAGATTCTGACTTTGAGATGCGGATGGAGTAAGACCCTGGTCTCTGTACTTTTAAGTTCCCTAAGGGATTCTAATGATTGATCTGGCTTAGGAATCCCAGATTGAGTACAGTTCCTCTTTGTATAGAGCCACTGAAGTCCAGAAAGGGCACATGGAAGGCTGGCAGGAAGAGCCCAGGTCTCCTAACTCCAGTTCCAGAGTCTGCCCATGATGAGCTCCACCAGGCAGAGGCAGAGTGATCTGTCAGGTAGGCTTTGTCTATAAACTACTACGAAGAGTTTGGAGGAACTGTCCTGTGGATTGCTTTCCTTTTAGAGGACAGCTTCCCAGGAAGAGAGAGTATGTCTCCTTTGTCCTCTGGAGCCTTCTGAGAGCTCAAAACAAGAAAGGCACTAACAGGAGATGAACTGATCCAACTTACCAATTTCAGCCTGTAACATCTCAGGTATCTTCACTCTGAGAGGCTACAAAACACAAGAGTAGGGTTAGAGGTCTCATGTGCCAGGGGGACGGACAGGTGCAGGTGGGGAGGGCTCGACAAGGCTACCTTCTGTCCTTTTGTTTTCCATATGTGGCATGGGGATGAACCTAGGGCAAACCCCCTCTCCCCTGGCCCCATATCTATATCCTCCTCCTTTCTCTTCCAACTATATACCTGAATTCTAAGCCAAAGTTTTTGGGAAATGGAATCTGAGGCTACAGGGCAAGTTGGTACTACATTCTCAGGAAACATCAGGGTACATGGGAAAGGCATGTTATTCCAAAAAGTTGGCTGGTGCTAATAAGAAATAAATACTTGCTAGGCTATTTGATGGGCTCCTCCCCATCACTCCAAAAGGAAAACTAGCCCTTAACACACCTAGATTTGCAGTTAACACAGTGTTCTGGCTTCTGCTGTATGAGTCTATGACACTTGGATACCTGAGTGGCTCCCCAACAACCAAAGAGCACAACTGGCAGCTCTAACCTCCTTGCTAAGAGCCACTTAAGGGGATGAAAAATATTGAGGAAGATCAATTTTTCTAACCTGATTAGCCTTAGCTTACTGCTGTAAGAATAAAGTCATGTTGGAATTAGTTCAGTTGATCAGATTAGAAAGTTAGGGAACTGACCTCTGCAGGTTGTAGTCTCTGTCAGGATGGCCCTGACACACTCTGGAATTACATTCAGATGCAGAGAGTGCTCACCTGTCCCAGATTTACAGCTCTCCCACCTGACTCCTGCCTTTGGGTAGTAAGAGCAAGTCAGCTTCAGAAACCCAGGATTGCCTTGCTTTACTGACCTAGTTCACCTCTCTTTCTTTATCTAGGTAGAGGGAAGGGTATAGGGTTGAGGGAGTAATTCAAATTTGGTGCAATCTCTTTCTTTCTCCAAACATTCGGCGGGGGGGTGGGGGGGTGGTGGTGGTGTAATATATGTATTCTATATGTAAAACTAAAGAGATGGAGAGGAGATCAATTCTTTGAGGAGATGTAGGAACAGCTCCAGATATCTCAAACTCTCAGCCTAGATGTCTCTTTAAAAATCTATTTCCAGGGGCTGGGGATTTAGCTCAGTGGCATAAGCACCTGCCTTGCAAGCAGGCAGTCATGAGTTCGATCCCTGGTACCGGTAAAAATGAAAAGGCCAAAAAAAAAAAAAAAAAAAAGAAAAAAAAAATCTATTTCCACTTGGCCTGAATGGGTTTTTTTTGGTCTCTGAGACAGGGTCTTGCTATGTAGATCAGGTTGGTCTTGAGCTCACTTTGTAGCCCAGGTTGGTCTCAAATTTGCAATGATCCTCCTGCCTCAGCCTTCCAAGTGCTGAGATTACAGGCATAAGCCACCACGCTCAGCTTGGCCTGAATGTTTTGTTTAGTTTTTCTTCTGCCTGAGTGCTCCAAAGGGTATAAAGAAGTTATAATTCAATTCATGACTGCCTTACCGCATTTTTTTCTAGGAAAATATTCCAGATGTCTTTTCCCAAACTCCGGGAATCTTTGGTGTTTGTCTGCTGATAAACTTCTACACACAAGTAAAAAAGCTAGAAAGAGAGAAGTGGATTAGAATAGTGATACTCAACCAAGAGTGACTTACCCCAGGAGATGTCTGGAGATGCTTTTAATTGTTACAACTCTGGGAAGTGGGTGCTCCTTGTATTTAATGGGTAGGGCCCATTAAATTGAATAGGAATGTTCAGTTAATCAATGCTGAGCAAATGGATGTTATTCTGACCTCTATAATCATCATATTCCCAGAAAGAAAGCAGCAGTTCATGCCCTGGCAAGAGACTTATGAAGAATACAACATTGACTGAGTCCTTGATCCACCTTGCTTTCTAATCAACTGAGCAGAAAGAAAGAAACTGCAAGGCTGCTGGCTTGGAGCACTGCCCCAGTATCTATGGGCTCCATAGCGCCATGCAGCTTCTTGCTATCACCTGTAGACTGAAAACTCTTCTGCTAGCTTTTTTGCAGTAATTATTTGCAAGAGCCATTCTTTCAATTCCCCATCAATCTGTACCTAGCCTTTACTACTTTCATTTAAAAAATCCAGATTATCCTCTTTAAGAACTGATCCTAAACTGATCAAGAATGATACTGCTCCTGGCTTAGCTCTTGCCATTACTTTTTTTTTGAGACAGGGTCTTGCTATGTATGTAGCCCAGGCTAACCTTAAACTCACTGTGTATCCCAGGCTGGGCTTGAACTCATGGTGATTCTCCTGGCTCAGCCTCCTGAGTACTGGGATTACAGGCATGTATCACCATACCTGGCATCTTGCCACTACTACTACTTTTTTTTTGTAGTACTGGGGATTGAACCCAGGGCCTTGTACATGCAAGGCAAGAACTCTATAATTCAGCCAAATCTCCAGCTCACCACCACTTCTTAAACTACTAATGTAGTTAGCTTCTGATAGCATTCCTCTGCTTTTCTATTTTATTTCTGTCCTCAAGATGCTTGACTACATCCAGACATTTAGAGATGAGGGACAGAAGCCAGAGATTCTCTTTGCTAAGAATAAGTAGGCTCTCAAACAAAACTAATACTGCTGACTTACCAGTGGACTGGGGTCTGCCTGAGAGAAGATATAACGTAGGAAAACTGCCAGGTGAGCTGGACGTGACTTCAGTTTTTCAAGATCCTGGAAGATGATGTCGCTCTGGAAGGCAGAAGGATGAAAACGCCTGGAGGCACTGAAGCAGGAGACAGCACAGCTTGCTCTAGTTTTGATCCCATGCTCACCTCCTTGCAGGCACCCTCTCCACACTGCCCTCACAGCTGGGCAGACACTATTTGTAGGCAATGGTGGAGTATATGACAAAGAATGATGAAAGGAGAAAACCTGGCAATGATTACCTCGTTGTTGAAATAACCTGGGTCATAATCTTCCTCTGGGCCAATAATCAAAGGTTTTGGGACTGGATCCACACCCTAGGAAAGAGAATCAAGTTGTACAGATGAGACATTACTGAGGACAGAGATTCAACCTCTTCTACTCAAGCACTCTGGTCTGCTTAGAAACAGTAGTACACTCACAAAGAAAGCCAGTAGTCTGGTAAATGCTGAAATCTCACTACTACCCACAAATCTCAGAGCACAGATGCAATGATTTCCACGTGCAGAAAGTCAACTGCTTCTGGTGAGCATAGCAGACTCGGAGCAGCCTGGTCACATGATGTACGAAGATTGGAAATAAGAGAAAGTGCCATTTCTTTCTGTTTGCAAAAGATCTGGGGAGGGAGTATCGGCCAACAAAATAAGAGTCTACAGCATCTCCTTGACTATTGGGAGGCTGTGCTATTTTCCTAAATAGACTAAACAGCCACCCTCCAACCTAAACCACACCACCCAAATTCAGTGTCTGTTACAATGCCATTGCATAGTTGTACGCCTAGCAAGTCCTGACGGCTCAATAATAGAAAGCCTAGAAGTGGATCTGTCTCTTCCTGAACAAAAGGGGATGGAGTTGATATTTCTCAAACATCATTTGCATTACATTCTCATGTTTATTCAAGAATCGGTGGTAGATCCCTATTAACTGTTAAAATTCAAGCTTCTTAGCCTGGCTTTCCTCTTTTTCCCCTTTATGTCAATTTTAATGAAAACTTAATTCTAACTGACATGCCACTGATCACTGAATATGTTCGTTCCAGCTTGAACTGCTGGTGTGCTTGTACAGTTGGCAGTGGTACAGTCATGCATGTAACCTCAATGGTTCAAATTGCGTGGCAGCGAGACATACAAATTACAGCCCTGTCATGAATGTCTAAAAAGTGAGATTTTATATTGCATGTAGTTTTCAGATATTTCATGGGAGCATTTCTTCTAAAGGTGCCTTGAGCTTTTTCTTAAAGATTCAGATCTTTTCTATCACACAACATGAAGGATCTGGAAAGTATAGCAGAGATCAAAGTCTAATACTGGTGATGTTATAATGGAGAAAAGGGAGGCCCAGAGAGATGAACTGCCACGCTCTAAACAGCAGCCAGTGCTGGAGTGCTGTACTTAGACTTCTTAGACATACCCAGGCTCTGAACTCTTGGGGTCAAGGATCCTCAGGGGTTGCTAAATGAACACTTCTGGCTCTAGTCTGCTTTCTAGTGAAAAGCATCAAAAAAAACCTTAGGTTTTTCCTTGTTTAGGGAGAGGATTTTTAAGTCTCTACAAATACATATATAAAACTAGACTGTGCATCTTAGTTAAAAATCAAACATAAAGGTGAGTATGGTGTTGCACGTCTGTAATCTCAGTTCTTGGGTGGCTGAGGCAGGAGGCCTGCCTTAAGTTTGAGGTTAGCCTGGGTCACATAGCAAGACCCTGTCTTCAAAAGCCAAACCAACCAATCAACCAACCAACCAAACAAACACACAAACAACAACAACAAAAAAAACTCAAACATTATAGAAAGAATCAAGATGTATTATGTACATACACCAACTCCCCATGAGAAAAGTGAGCAATGAATACTACAAACATGTACTTTATTATTTTTTTTTATGAATACAAATTTACTTGTCCAGGAATGACAAGTTTGTAACTTGTGATTATATGAAAATTACTTCATATAATTTTGAAAATACACAGCTCAGACAATTCAAATGAAAACATGTACTTTATTTTTATTTAAAACATGTACTTTAAAAAAAATAAAAGGATTACATCATAGAAAGTGAGAGTTCCCCCATGTTTCCATCTTCCTGCTGCTTATAGTTTTCTTGGACAGTACAGACTTTCCTTTTATGTTTTTATTAATGTAAAATCGTGGAGATACATTTGCTTTTACATGAAGAAAGATAATTTAAATAGTTTTTGAAGGATAGACAAATTCAAAAAAGGTGGAAAGGGCCAAAATAATTTTTTTCCTCCATTCCTGCTCCTGTTAATGATCTAAGGAAAAACCTTCCCTTGGAAGAGGCTCAATCTCCTTCTAATCCTGAAGTTGGTCTTTTAGTTCTACACAGGGAAGAGCAGGGTTGGGCAACCCTGGTTGGAGAGGACAGAGCCTTGTACTGGGGCTCAACAGAACTAAGCTGTAGTTCAACTCTTACGATAACCAGCTGAGTCCCTGGCCAGTCCCTTATAACCTCTCTTTGCCTCCCATTTCTCATTTACCACATGAAATTCTAATAGGCACCTTCTTTCTTGATTATGAGAATCAAGTGAGACTTCCTGTAAAGGGTCCAGTCCCTCAAGAGGACACAGGCATTTACACACGTTAGATATCTCCTCTGCCAAATTCTAAGAATAATTTAATTTTATCCTCCTCAATAGAGAAAATAAGAATATCAAGTACGTTCTTCTTTTTTGTTTTTTGAGACAGGGTCTCACTATGTGCAGTTTAGGCTGGTCCTGAATTTACTATGTAGGCCAGTATGTCCTTGAACCTGTAGCAATCCTGTCCCTGCCTACTGAGTGCTGGGAGTATAGGTATGTACCACCACATCTGGCTGCACCATAGATCCTGACTAGAATTGTTTTCTTTGGTATAGTACTAGGCATTAAATCCAGAGAGCACTGAGTTACATTCCTAGTCTTTCTAAATTTTGAGACAAGGTCTCACTAAGTTGCCCAGCTTGGCCTCAACTTGCAATCTTCTTGCTTCAGCCTTCTGAGTAGCTAGGATGCAGGCATGTGCCACTAAATCTGGCTGCCAATTTTCTGTTGATGACTGATAACTCTGGATTTAAAAAAAGTAAGTCTCGGCTGGGGATATAGCTCAGTGGCACAAGTGCAAGTGCCTGTCTAGCAAGCATGATGTCATGAGTTTGATCCCCAGTACACCACCCCCCCGCCCGCCCCCCTCCCGCCCGCCCCCCCCCCAAAAAAAAAGAAAGTCTCACCTAGACCATAGCACTTTGATTATGGATCAGTGGGAACTCAGTTTTGAGAACTGTGAGTTTGTTTTCTGGGTAAGTCCTCCCTATGATGATACTCAGAAGACAATTCTGATTAGTACTATTTCAAAGTATTCTCTCATTAATTCATTAAACATTACGAAGTACCCACTGCTAAAGTTTGGATTTTTAATGTCTTCCAATGTTTTATGTACTAAAGACTTGGTCATCAACTTGTGGTGACTGGGGAAGGAGCAGAATTTTAAGATAGAATCAATGGAAGGAAGTTATAGAATGGGGAAGTAGTATACCTTTGAGGGGACCCAAGGATCACAGCCTCTTCCTACTCCCATTGATACTCCATTGATCCATTCACCTATCTACCTAAGTACTTTTTGTGGTGTTGGGGTTTGAGCCAGGGCTTTGCACATGGTAGGCAAGGGCTCTACCACTGAGCTACATCCCCCAGCTCTTCTTCTCTCTTTGTTTACTGGCTGCCAGAAGTAGATAGAGCTTTGCCACCACATGTTTTGGCCATGATGCACTGGGCCATGACAGACCCAAAGCAGGAGGGTGAAGCAACTATGAATTGATGCCTCTAAGCCAAAATAAACCTTTTCTCCTTTTAAGCTGATTATCCATTTTGTTACAGTGATGGAAAACTGACTAACATACCTACTATATGACAGACACTGTGGTAAATGCTTGGCATGTAAAATTGGGCCCAGTGGGAAAATTAAGACTTACAAATGAAGACTACCAGCAGGGGAATAAATACAGTGACAGGAAAAAAGGTGCTGCTTATAACCCTAAACTCCAGAGAGAGGACCATCAAAGAGAACTGAGGGGTATATATGTGTGCAGAAATGGAAACAGAGAAGAGCAAGCAGCAAACTAACCCCACTCTCTTGGGTCATCACTGACATCTAGGGAAAAATGGCTTCCTGAGGAGGCATACAAGTGGCTACCCACTCTCCCATTGATGTGTTCTGAAATTTTGTTTTATTGTTTTTTCTCTTTGAAATAAAGTTGATTTAAAAAAAAAAGTAAAAGCAGAGAGCACTATTTTAGTTACTGTTTTACAGGGTTAAAAAAACACAATGGCTACCCTAACCCCACAAATTTTTCAAAGCCTACCTAATAGGTTTGTCATGGGAAAAATAAGATTTAGTTTTGTTCATGGGCAGGCAAGAAGACAGAAAAGTTAGGTCTGTATTCTAGAAGCCATCAGATTTAACTAACTTGCTAACTGGTCACTTAAACATTAGAATTTTTAATATTCCATTTCTTCATTATCTCTCCCCTTTTATCTGAAAGCAATGTAGTGACCCCATCTTCTAAAGACTGTTTCCTGGATTGAGAGATTAACCACCATCAAAGTTAATTTTTTTCTTTTTCTCCTACCTTTTTGTTTGTTTGTTTTTTGAGACAATGTCTTGCTATGTAATTTAGGCTGGCCTTAAACTCACTATGTTCCCAGGCTGGCCTTGAACTTATGGCAACCTCCTACTTCAGCCTCCCGAGTGCTGCGATTATAGGTGTGAACTACCATGCCCAGTTATCTTTTTAATTTTTTCTTGTTTCTATTCTCCGTATTGTTTTTTTCTTTTATCTTCTACTTCTCATTGTTTTTCCTATTGTCTTTATTCAATCCTATAAATATTCTTCTAGTTCCTAGCAGGATTTTTGTCTCACTTCTCTTTCTTCCTCACCTCCTATAGTTTAAATTTTCTTCTTGTTTTCTCCCATTCCCAATTCCCCATATATTTAATTGTATAACCATTAAGATTTATTAATTATTAAGTAGTTAACTCCATACAATTACAGTTTCTTTTCTACTATTAGTGGAGATACAGCTGTTGCATTTATTACATATTTGCTGTATGTCACTATCTGGGTTGTCTTACTGTTTACACTATAATTGTGGATTTCTTTTCTATGGATAAGGGTGGTACATTATTGATTCTTTTGTTATGTTAATATCCAGTTTGTCTCGGATAATACTACTGTAGCAGACCTGGTTGATACTCCTAGGGTCACATGATTATTGCTATCAATGGGTTTTCTCTGTATGCCAATACCTGGATTACTTTTGTG